CTTTTAGATATTTGAATATAGAAGTAATGGCTGATTATATTTCTTGAAATGAGACAAAGAAGCTCTTCAGATCTTTTTGATTGATTTGACTGTTTCAAAGCATTCTGAAGGAACCATGTGAAATGTGAATGTCAAAGGGACTTTCCATTACTTTCTGCAAACAGACCTTGCTAAATGGAATAGCATGTTGATGAAATTGGATTTTTTTTATATTGCTAATTGTAGCTAATAGTTAAAATCCTTCTTTGTAAGCATTGAGATTCATCTCTGATTGGGTTCCAGTTTGTTCGTTTTATTTTCTATCAGCTGCTCTTTGAACCATAAAAGTTTCTTCTGGTTTTCTGCCACCAATTCTGCCAATCTTGGGCAGCATATTGGAATTTTCTTTTAGTCTAATGAGGACTGAAGGCAAAGACATGGTCCAAAAGTGTTCTCAAAAGGTTGTAAATTGATGCAGACACACACACACTCACACAGATTCACACACATTCACAAATACTTCAACATCTGTGAATTTGGAAATGCTTGTATATAAACAGTTTACAAACAAAAACATTGAGAAAACTTATTTAATAGAATCATACATCTTTATTAAATATTAATGTGTTATACATTGAACCTTCCAAATTTATGTAGGCATCACAACATTAGTAGGAGGTGGAACTGGACCTGCTGAAGGGACACGTGCAACTACTTGTACACCGGCTGCATTGCAAATGAAATTGATGCTGCAGTCCACTGATGACTTTCCTCTAAATTTTGGCTTCACGGGGAAGGTAAGCTTAAATTTCCTTATGTAATATTTTCCTTCATGTTATCTATGAATTAGGTAAAGAGTAAAGGATGGACCTATATTCTTCATTTATCTGATATAAAATGGATGGTTAGAGCTTCCCTTACTTGCCCTCAAATTTTTTTTCTTAGGGGAATGGTTCCAAACCTGATGAACTACATGAAATAATCAAAGCTGGAGCTATGGGATTGAAGCTGCATGAGGATTGGGGAACTACTCCTGCTGCAATAGACAATTGTTTAACTGTTGCAGAACTATATGATGTCCAGGTCAGAAAACAAGAATGCCTATTATTTCTGAGCTTTACAAGTTCTTTTTAATTGCATTTTAACCATATAGGTGTCTTTTATCTTTATTGATTTTGGCAGGTTAATATACATACTGACACCTTGAATGAATCTGGATTTGTGGAACATACAATTGCCGCATTTAAAGGAAGAACTATTCATGCTTATCACAGGTATAAACTCATGTCTCCCATCCCCCCACCCCTACTTGCTCAATAAGAAAAAACTAAATTGACTGATTAGCAGAAATCAGATATATGAGGAGATAACTCTGGATTACTATCTTCAATAAGGCTCTTAAGGATGCCTTGTGAAAGGAACCTTAAAAAATGTGGAGTTGTAACTTTAATGAGTTCATTAAGCGTGAATATCTTTCTCTTTTTTCAGAACAAGGTGGAGTTCTGTTTCTATTAATTTTCTGGTTAATGGGTCAGGTTTAGCTATTTGATGTTCATTATTAATGTAATTTTGGGCAGTGAAGGTGCTGGTGGTGGTCATGCTCCAGATATCATCAAAGTATGTGGTGTTAAAAACGTCCTCCCCTCATCAACAAACCCAACACGCCCTTATACTTCCAATACTATAGATGAACATCTTGATATGCTGGTATGTGAAGATAATAGTATATATTATATCTGCAGGATTTTGCCTGTCCAATTCTCATGCATTCCTATCTTAGCAGATGGTTTGCCATCACCTTGACAAGGATATTCCAGAAGATGTAGCTTTTGCTGAATCAAGGATTAGGGCTGAAACCATTGCTGCGGAAGACATATTGCATGACATGGGGGCAATCAGCATTATATCTTCTGATTCACAGGCTATGGGTCGCATTGGAGAGGTCTTCTTTTAAATTCTACTTCTCTTACTCCTTGGCTTTCTTTTATTTCATAGAAAGAGCTTGTGTGAGTAGTTGCTATTCATATGGAAACTTTTTATGATTAAATGACTATCAAAGGTAGAAACAACAAGAGACAGGTTTTCTTTAACTTGACTGTGAGAATTTAGAATAGTTAAAAGCAGAGTCTGATTGTTGTAGTAAATAAAGTAGCAAACTAATTTTAGGATGAAGGTAACAAATACTTTGTGAAGGATGAAGAGAGGAATATGGCATCAGAGACAACAAACCCAAACTTCATGTAATGAGCCTCATCAAAAAACAGGCCAGGAACATATTGGGAACATCTTGTGTTAGTCAAATATATAATCTTGATTTGGTCATGCTCAATTCTTAGTAGCATACATGGTTAACCTTCTATATAGCACATACTTCTCATTTTGCATGTGCTTATAAATGACTCGGATAGTTCCATGATCTAAGGCTGAAATAAGTTCAATTCTTTCTTACCAGGTGATAAGCAGAACTTGGCAAACTGCCCACAAGATGAAATCACAAAGGGGGCCAATTGGTCCTGGAGGCTCAGACAATGACAATCTAAGAATCAAACGTTATGTTGCAAAATACACCATAAATCCAGCTATTGCTAATGGGATTGCAGAATTCGTTGGTTCAGTAGAGGCATGTTATTTGTAATCTCTTTAAATGTTGTGTGTGTGTGTGTGTGTTTTGGCTTTTCTAATTATTAGAAATTTACTTATGTCAACAATATATGCATCCGCAGGTGGGAAAGTTGGCTGATCTTGTTTTATGGAAGCCATCCTTTTTTGGGGCAAAACCTGAAATGGTAATCAAAGGTGGTGAAATTACTTGGGCTAATATGGGAGATCCTAATGCAAGCATCCCAACACCTGAACCGGTAAAATTTTATTTGTTATTCACAGAGAAGGATTTTTTACTTTTCTTCACTTAACAAATCATCCTGTTTGGTGATATTATGGGCATTAACTTCTTATTCTCCTATCTTAAAAGGAAATGGATAAGTTATTTGTGCTTGAAAATGATTTCAGGTATTAGTCACTGACTGTTGAAATAGTTTTACACCCTTCTATTCTTGTTCACATTTCTAATGATATGTAATATTACAAAACCGTCTCAAAAATGATTTATAAGTTATTGTTGCTAGCTAATGCTACCATACTGAGGCTTCTAGTGAGATCAATTGAAGAAGCCAAAGTTAAGCACTTTTTATTGAAGACATGAGTTGCCACAGGTGTTATCAAGGCCGATGTTTGGAGCATTTGGCGAGGCTGGAAGTGCTAACTCCATCGCTTTCATCAGCAAGGCATGAATCTCTCTCTCTCTCCATGTGTGTATATATATCATAAACAAGCAGAATCACATTTACGCTTGCAAACAGGCTGCTTTAGATTGTGGAGTTAAAGAGTTATATGGACTAAAGAAGAGGGTAGAAGCTGTTGGCAATACCAGAAGTCTGACCAAGCTTGACATGAAGCTCAATAATGCCCTCCCAAATATCACAGTAGACCCAGAAACATATATTGTGACAGCTGACGGTGTGGTTCTCACCTGTGATGCAGCAACTACAGTTCCCCTGTCTCGGAATTATTTCCTCTTCTAGTCTCCATAGATAATGCTCTTAACTTTCACCATGTATTTTACCTTTTGTTTTTAAATTAAGCATCCTAGCTTTGGAACGTTATGAACATTTAAATAAAAACAGACAAACAATTCATCCAGGAGGCAGTAAGTAAAACAGGAACAAAGCAGCTACCGATGAGTTGCTTGTTCTCCAAGTTTGCTGAAACCTTATGTTCTACTTGATGCAATTCAGTATTGTGGTTCAGTTTATGGCATAACAAAACATAGTGTTCAAATTGGCTTGCTCGCACTTGAGAGCATCATTGATAATGGTTGCAATTTGATGTAACCAAGCATGATAGCAAGTCGTTTCGATCTCCTTCGTCAGGTCCTGGAGTAACTGGTGGTGGAATACCCCATAGCATTTGTCTGACAAATTTAGCTGTATAAACATTACCTGTAAATTACAACATTCCTGTACGCATTTGGGAGCAAATAGTGATAGGCGTGTTCACTTGGGTGCTTACCTCTGCCTTGCCATTGACTCGAAAACTTAAAGAGATGGTGAGTTGGTAGTTGTTGAAGATACTATTTCAAAACATTAGCCGACTGAGACAACTAATCATGGTTGGTATTGCTAGTTTTTTATCAGTCAAGACTCCAAGAGTGGGGGGGAAACAGGCAACTGTTCGTTAGATTGAAAACAGGTAGGTTGAATGCCGCCAAAGCAAACCTCATTTTTGGGCCAAGTGGTCACAAACTCAAAATATCAGCGGCTGAACGCTGCCCCATTGCCATTAAAATTCAATAGTTATCTATATATTTTTTTTTATAAAGGATGTCTCACCTTAAGGATTAAAAAATTAAATATTATAATCTAAAGTTTAAATTTAAAATATTAATTATTAAAAATAATTATAAAATTAAATTAAATTAAATTAAATTCTGAATTCATTTATTATCAATTTTAACCTACTTTTCTACTATCTATAATTATTTCATTAATAATTCACTGGCATCTCCCAAAAATGGGTCCCACATTCTCATTATTTTTCTTTGAAAATTGCCTTCAATTTTGGCGGGAAACTTCAAACCTGGTAAGTTTTGGGAGTTATGTTTCCTGAATTTCAGCAATTTCTTGATCAAATTATCACCAGGATTATATAAATCCTGGACCCTTAATTAATAATAATGGATTTCTTTAACAGGCAAATAATCAGTGGGGAAAACATCACATGAGCTTTTACTCCGTCAGATCTGACATGGCCCACTTATTGGTACCTGTCTCGTGAAAAGGAAGAAGGTAGCCGGAGGCAAGGGTCATTATCAGACAGATCTTCATCATAAACGCAAGCTGCATGATCTCATCATATCCCACTAAATTAAACGGCTGACATCACGTGATCAACTCGAAACCTTAAGCTTACCGTTGAAAAATCAATAAAAACGAGCTCATTCAATAATTACCCCCATAAATTAAATTTATTTTTACAAAGTCCACCGGCCATGGCAGGAGATAACCTGCCATACACTTATCCACCACCTCATTATTATTTCCACGATCTATAAATAAAATAAAAAAATCAAAATTTTGAGCTTCAGTTGTCAAAAAATTTGAAATTTATCGCTGAATTATTCGGTTAAGTAATTAAAACCCTTCAAAAATTTTCAATTTTTTCTTTTAATGGGTGATTCGCCCGTACAGACAGAGGCAGAGCAACCACCTCCAGCGCAAATCCCTCTGCTCAATTCGAACAACCGAAACGACACCGCTCAAAACCAGCAGCAACGACGGCAACAACGAGAAATCCGAACAAGCAACGACCTCGATGATTCCTTGGAAAAGTTGGAGAGGTTTTTGACTTTTCTCGGTTTCAATCAATCTTCTTGGCTGAGCTTTTCCTTGTCTTGGGCGGCGTTCTCGGTGGTTGGGGTTTTGGTTCCGGTTTTAGTGCTGGAACTTTCCAATTGCGACAGTTGCGAGACGTACCAGATTAAGAATTTCGAGATGGTTATCGTGGCTTCTCAGGCCTGTTTGGCGGCCGTTTCTTTGTTTTGCATTTCGTTTAATCTCAGAAATTACGGTATTAGGAAGTTTCTATTTGTTGACCGATACGGCGGTCAAATGGCTCGTTTTACCAACCTCTACGTTAAACAAATTTTGGTAAAGTTTCTCACATTATTTATTTATTTGAAACATATATGTTTAAATTGTTTTGTTGGGGTTCATGGTTAACGCATTCAAGTTTGATCTTTGATTATAATTCTGTGTTAAATTATGCACTAATGTTGTTGGATTGATCGCAGCTACAAACATAGAAAGAAGATGATTAATTCTAACCTTTGAAATGATCCCTGATTTTTCACTTTTTCTTGTTTTATCTTTCATGGATTTGGAAATTATTAGTTTAGTAATATAATTTTTCTACACACAGAAAAGGGTTTTCTACTGAACCAATAAATGGATGATTCAATGAAACTAGAAATATGAATCTTTTCCTTTTAGTTGTGGCACCAGCAATTTTGGTAATAATAATGAATGTAAGTGAACTTAAAAGATTTGTTGTTTTGCTAAGCCGACCACTGTTTCTTGATTTGCATTAAGTTACTTTTGTATAGGATTCAATGCGCCTGCTGATATGGTGGTCGCTGCCATGCTTTATTTTGAAGACTGCACGTGAGATCATCCGTAGCTTATACGTGCAACGTGATTCATGGTGGATTTCTGTTGCTATTTTATTAGCTTTGGTTTTGTCGTGGACTTATGCGAGTACGATTAGTCTATCTGCCAGCATTTTGTTTCATTTAGTCTGCAACTTGCAAGTTATTCACTTTGATGATTACGCAAAGCTCCTGGAAAGAGAATCTGATGTTGTGGTATTTATAGAGGAGCACATTCGACTACGGCATCATCTTTTCAAGATAAGCCATAGGTTCAGAATTTTTCTTCTTTTACAGTTCTGTGTTGTCACAGCTAGCCAATTTGTGACTCTTCTCCAGACAACTGGATACAGTGGAATAGTTAACTTCATAAATGGAGGTGATTTTGCAGTAAGTGCAGATATTTATTTCTTTAGTTTCTATATGGATAAACTGCATTGTTAAGATAGCTAATTAGTTTGACTCCTGCACTCCATAAGCATTACTAATGCTACTAAACTAGAAAAAGAAGTTGCTAATTTCCTCGAATATTTTCTTTTAAACCGTAACCATTTAATTCGTTCAGGTCTTTATTGTAGTTGTCTCTTGTTTCATGCATTTCTAGGTCTCCTCAATTGTTCAGGTTGTTGGGATTATTCTGTGCTTGCATGCAGCCACAAAAATTTCTCATAGAGCTCAAGGAATTGCATCACTTGCTAGTAGATGGCATGCATTGGCAACATGCACTTCAACTGATGCCTCCCTGAGAAGTTCAAATAGTGTGGGAAACATGGAAGCTCTTAATCAATTGAACTCACTACATATGACTCTTTCTGAAAGTGATCTGGAGTCGGTGGATTATGTTGCCATGCCGACAACTACGCAGTTAGCTTCTTATATGTCTTCATATCACAGAAGACAAGCTTTTGGTATGAAATTTATCTTGTTTCCATACCTATTCTGTTTCTCTATTCCTCATCTGAAGATTTAGGGACAATGCTTAAAAATGAAGCAACAATATGAACTCTACTCCTACACTAGTACCATAAATGAAGATAAAACACACAGTAGCTCCGACACTTGCTAGATTTTTTTTACGGAAATACTTTGTGACGATATGAAACTATATTAAGAATCTCTTAGACATCACTGAAATATTATCTTGGTCATATAAAATTATGTAGGTATAAAAAAAGTAGCTCATAAGGTCTCTGAGATATGTTCAGTTGCATCTTCTAACTCCAATACTCCACCCAATAGTAACCACTAGAAGATGGATGGTTTATTTCTAGTTTATAAGTTTTACTTTATAATGGATATTCTTACTTCTTTGACCAAGTAATTGGTGATTTATTCTTGCAATGCATCCATAGAACCCCAGTTTAGCATTTGTCAATAGTTACTCAAAGAGAGCAGGTGAGATTTAGTTTGCAAGCCTTGTGTCGTAGTTTTGCAATGAATAGTATATCATCTTAAGTGTATCACTAGGCACAGTTAAAAACACTGTTATTTCTACTATATGTCTTTTTTTTTTTTTTGGTCCTTAGCTTTTGGAAGTTTTCTAGATTTGAATATCTTTAAGGGACATAAATGCTTAGATCCAGAAACATTGAAAATGAAAGTTGTAATCTCCGGCTGCGCCTGGAAGAAAGAATCTAATTGACTTTGTTCATATAAAACTGAACGCAAAGTCAATCCTTTAGATAGAATCTAATTGACGTTGCTCATATAAAACTGAAGGCAGAGTCAATCTTTACATCAAAGGCATGGGCTTGGCCCGGTGGTTTATGCTCCCATTTTCCCACCATGGTGTGGGAATTTCCTGGAGGCATTACAGCAACTAAATCTATGGTTTTCAATGTTGGGATTTTTATTCATCCATGTAGTCCTTATGCTTATATTTTGTGGGCATGCAGTGATGTACTTACAGACCAATCCTGGAGGCATTACTATATTTGGATGGACAGTTGATCGGGGTCTTATCAACACAATTTTTTTCATCGAGCTTTCCCTGGTTACATTTGTGCTTGGAAGGACCGTAGTCTTCGCTTCTACGTAATGTTCTCCATTACTGCCTGCATACAAATCTCACTCGCTAGCTAGCACCTGGTTAATTCTCGATAGGAAATGATCCTTATGGTTATTGTTAGAAATTGCTCAAGTATCATCTTGAATGGTGCTGATAAACAAGCCAACAGCAACAAGGCCTTTAGTTCGACAAAGGTTTGGGAATTTTGAACAGTGCAACACATGGATGCAGCACCATTTTCCTCGATCTTCGATTTGATTAATTAATTTATATATACTTTGTCATATACCAAACAAAACAAATTTGTCTGGTAAAAGGGAAAATCTGCGTTCACCTATATCTCTTAGACAAGTATGTGCCTATCGCCTTGGTCCGAATCTGGAAACTTTAGTGAAGGAGAATTTTACAACCGATGTTACAAAACATAATTCTAAGAATAAATTTCCGGTACTTTGGTTTTTAAAGAAAATACATAAAGCATGGGTATTAACGAACGGATTTGAAGGTATAAAGCCTCGGTCTCAAACGTGGGAGCTTTTGACGAGTTTTCATTCCATAATCATTCTGCTGGGCCAGAGGAATTAGTATACGGTTTATTCTGGTGACCTTTCCTTCGTGGTGATTTTGTTGTTGGTATGCCTACCGAAGTTCTTAATAGAACTGTAAACAGAAATGCAACGGGAGGAATACAATAAACAAAAATAGTAACATTCAATAACCAAGAATAGTGGATGGAACATACCGCAGCATCCTAATCTTGAAGACCACACAATTTACAAAACTAGATGTCAAACATGCTTTCAGTGAATGACACGGTAAACCAACTACATGCCAAAGGAGTTGATAACATGAAACAATAGAGCCTAAATTACCAGCATGCAAACTGTTCTAGTAAAAATCATAACTACCATCAAGGTTAAGTTGAACACGTAGTGAACAGATACCCAAAAATATACTATAATCTTGCTTGGTTAAGGCAAATTATTTATAAACAAGTATTTACTACACTATTAAGTGATATTAAGAATGTCTGAATGAATTTGATAACCAGAAAGTAAACTACAATTATTGAGCGGTAAGAGTTTATTTCATCCCAGAACCTTAATTAAAAATGTAACCCCCCACATTGCCCATGACCAGTAATTTTATATGAAACTGATAAAATAGTTATTAAAGGCTATTGTTTCCAATAAACATGATCATGAAATGCTTTAGACAATAAACACAATTATGCATTCATTAATTGTAAGGTTTGTAGAATTCATAAATTGTAAGGATTGTAGAAGTTAGGGTACTCTGTTTCGCAAACCTGCTAGTGGAATGTATAAACAGCATGAACATAAAACTACAAAACACGGGTTCACTAAAGAATCTCCTATTTATGCACTAATTTGGCATTCAAATTCCATACTAGAAGTGTCATATAGATCAATTTAAACTTGACGTATTTTATATTCATGCATTAATAAAGAAAACACTTCTATTACAGCCAAGGTAGCCACAGCAAAGCATATCACTAAATGAAAATCTAACAATCAATATGATCACATCCATTCCAACTATAATAAGAAGATAGAGAACAAGAGTTGAGAGGAGAAATATATGACGTAGCTTTATCCTGACTGTTCCAGGATACAGAAAAGTTCATTTGTTATTGATGCACTTATATGATGCCTTTCATCACAATTACATAGAATCAAGTGCATCTTAATGATACCATTACATAAAACAATGAAAAATTCTAGTATACCAATAGATGGAAATATTAAAGTGAAAAAAGTTAATCTAAGATATTGTAACAGACCAAAGTTTGTATAGTACCTCTGCTGAGCCTGAAGGGACAACTAACTGGAAGTTAGATAAAATCCACAATACGATAACCTCCTCAACCTGCTTGCTTTGAGACTGCAGTTACATTCACAGACATGTCATAAAAGATTCCAGAGCTAATTACAGCTTGAATCTCCCAGACCATTATTTAAACACAGTCAAAATGGAAATAGCAAATTACAACTTAACTTTCATGGCTTTAGGAGATGTTTCAATTGCTGACTAACCAAATTACAGTCAACAGACAAACTAAATCAATGAAGTACAAAAGAGGAATTGATCGTAATCAAGAGAAACTCAGATTAAAAATCATTTGAGCTAAAATTAGCAACATTATAAAACTCAACCAAACTCATAAACTCACTGCTTAACCTTAGTGAATTCCAAGCATCTACAAAGCCTAAATTGAATGAAATCAGCATCCCAGCCACAACTCATCTTCTTCCATAATTTAAGTCCTTTTTTTTCTGTGGCCGTGGTTAGTGGAATAGGCATCAGAATATATATATATATATATATATATATATGTATGTATGTATGTATGTATGTATATATGTATATTCCCAGAAAACCCAAAGGCCAAGTTAAGCATCAAAACAAAATCAAATTCAATCATCTCTTCAAAAGTACAAGCCTACTGTTTGGCATAATCAGAAAAAAAGGACAATAAACTACATGTTCATTGACTTAATCAGTGATGAGTCAAAGACAAATGAACTGTTAAAACAGGTTGTCAAACCAATAAACAAAGAGAATTTATGAAAAATAGTTCAGAAGTCAACTCCTTTAGTTGACAACAATAAATTGGGTTTTGTACCCTCTTTCCCATGAATGTACACACAAACACAAAATAACAAATCTTGAACATATCACCGTAGGGAAGAGAGAGGAAACATTGGCAACATCACAACTCTTCAAGATTTCTTTTCAACTCAAGAAAGCACTGTCAAAACCATATACATAGCTTTTGTCCTATAAGCAATTTCAGATCATGGCAATTCTCCTCCACATCTCCGACACAGTTACAAATAATCATCCATAAGATTAGGAAAGGAAAAAAAAAACACTAATATGGTTAAGTTAGCAACGCATTTTTCATACTGTAGAGGCAATCCCTCGTGGTTAGACAATATAAATCTAACCCCATAAAACATTCCACAGATATTGGATTAATAAATTACCTTTGATGTATAATGGTTACTGTCAATTTCTTCGTCAATGAAAAGCAAAGAATGCCCCCTCCACTCCACACCAACCGTCTCTTGCAAACACAATGTCAATATTAAAAAAAGATGGAATTGATCAAAGGAAAAAATCCATAATGTTTTAATATTAAAAACCAGCTATAAAGGGAATGTTTACATCATTGTTTCAATAAGAATATGTTACACAAGTTTCAGCTGAAACTGATTCTAAAAGAAGAAAGGCTGATATGCCACACCTTGCGATGCAAGCAGTGTCAGATGCATTTTTATATGATGAACAAAGCTGGAAAACAAATTAACCTGCAAAACATCAGGTTCACAGGAAGAGGCAAACAAAATATCTCCGGCCAAATCATCATCAGTGCCTGCTAAAAAGCATCAAGAATGATCTTCTGACAAATAAAGTTTGCAACTTCCGTTGAATGCATGTCTCTCACCTCAATCATGGCCACCTAACAATAATGTGAAAAATCTAAAACATGAAGATCAAATGACACTGATGGATGAACTTTCTCTCAGCCAAACAAACCACCAGTACCCAATTCCCCTTGCAGCAACTCCTTCCTGCGTTGCTCTTCCAAAGGATCTGGACTCTTCAACATTCTTCTACTACGCCTAAGCATGATACAAAAGACCTAATTTAAAACTTTATTCATAAATTAAAACCCAAATTTACTAAAATAAAATAATAATTGTGATGTTTTCTTGTTTCTGTCAGTCAATACCTGTCTTGAGCATGTTGGGCAGGGAAAGTGGGCATGAAAGCTTTACTCTTAGGAAGGGGAACTTCACGAAACCACTCATGGTTAAGAGCAGCTTCAGCTGTTATACGCTGAAGGTGATATCACAATTCTCAATACATCATCCGCATAAATAATGACAAGGTAACCAAAATATAGACACAAGCCAAGTTATTTACCTTCTCAGGATCATAAGTAAGAAGTTTATTCAACAAGTCAAATCCTGCATCAGAGAGAACAGGTGTTCCAGTGAATGATGTGGCTGGAAATTTCTTGCGCAATAGATTATACCTGAAAGGAAAATATCAGTAATTAATACAAACAAAAATAAATTCTGTGTTACTAATATGTCACCAATGGAGGCCAGAAAGCCAGACCAGAATCACCCAAAGCTGGAAGCCTGGGAAAACAGTGGGAAAAATAAGAAGACCTGAATATTACACTCAACTGAATTTAAAATCAAATATCTAACACTTACTGATGCTTGACAAAATTGACCTTGACTCCAGGCAACTTTGAAAAACCAGGCCATATTGTCTCATTTGGTGTGCCAAGGGTTCTGAAAATCTGCAATCAGTAAAACCCACACAACAAATCCATGAGCATTACCCACCATTGGCAGATTGAACTATTCCAGTAATAGAATGGCCAGAACTAATGATTAATAAAAGGTGAGGCCAAATCATTTAATTCACCTTGTCTAGTTGATCAAATTCAGTTTTTCCATTGAAAAGTGGTTCTTTCGATAGTAGTTCAGCCATGATACAACCCAGAGACCACATGTCAATTGCAGTGGAATATTGTCTTGCTCCCAAAAGAAGTTCAGGTGCCCTGCAAAACCAACATGAAAAGTTCCTAACTACTTGAATCCCAAAAATTTGAATGCTCAGATAATTGATCAAACAAACTTAAGACAAATTAACAGTGCAAATGCTTAAGCCTTAAAAGGTACCAAACAGTAAAAACAGGTTAGCACCCTAGAGCATATGGGGTTCATACTTCTCGTTGACCACAAAAAGAGAAGTTCAAATCACAATTCATCAATTCAAGTTCATACTTTGTCAAAGGCTTCTCCATGAAACTGTGACCTCAAGATTTTTGAGGTATTAGCATTCAACATTGAATAAGATAACAATAACAAAATTTAATAAAAAAGGGATGTTTCTGTCAATAATCAACACTTACATACCCAAAAGCATAAGTCAAAAAAAATTCCAAACACCCAATCACAAACAGCAAATGAAAATAAAATACTGAAGATGAAAAGTCAACCATATACTTTATTTCATTGCACAAATATGAGGATTTAACCATGACATTCAGAAGAGTAATCAATGGCTTGTATAACTCACCTGTACCAAAGAGTAACAACCAAATGAGTATATGGTTTTAATGGGCTTCCATATTGACGAGCCAACCCAAAATCACAAATCTTCAGTTCACCTAGGTTATTTAAAAGCAGATTAGACGTCTTCAAATCTCGATGGAGAACCCAGTTATCATGAAGATACTTGACACCCTCCAGAAGCTGAAGCATCAAGCATTTAACCTCACTTTGGCTGAATGGTTGTTTCATTGTCTCCATCAGCCCTTTCAGATCATGTTCCATGTATTCCATCACCATAAAAATACTATCAAGGTTACTCCCTACAACTACTTCTTTAACATCTACAATCGATGGGTGATGAAATGAAAGAAGAATGTTTATTTCCCTCAGAGAGGTCAAAGGAAAACCTTCTCTTTCTTTCTCCATCTTTACCTTCTTCAATGCCACAACTTCCCCCGTCTTCTTGTCCTTAGCTCTATATACAACACCATAAGTACCTTCATCTATCTTATTTAGTCTCTCGAATTCGTCTACACTTCTACATCCTTGAAGCATGTTTACACTTCTTAAAGGAGGAGTTGGAGGCTCGGGTGTCCCATGTGAATCACTTTCATTCTCAGAACCTGTATCAGATTCACTAACACTACTGTCATTTCTATCACATTCAATGTCAATCTCCATGTAGTCATCCTTCTCTGAATCATTAACAGGGTTGTAATCATCCCTACTTCCAGACTTGGAATGGGCACCTCGTTCATCAGATTCAGATGATCTGGCTCTAATTCCCTCAGAGCCTTCCCTCTTAAGCTCCCCAAGCTCTGGAGTTGCTAACTTATTCCGTAATCCGTTATGGGATGATTCTGAAAGAGCCAACATTTTCCTCCTTTTAGGCATTTCCTCATCTTCTAAAATTTCACCCTCATCAACTGGAGAACTATCACCAGCTGCCCATCTTGAGGAAGATATATGTCTGGTCAGTACATAATCTTCATCTTCTAGCTGCCCAGAATCCTGGTCGATAACCTGTTCTTTTTGAGGTGACAAATCCAAATCGACTGGAGAATGCAGCACAGAGTACCCAACAGTTTCAGCAGCAGCAGCAACTGGTGAAGGAGACAGTGATTTCAGGCTTTTGCTTTCTCTAACAGGAGATATCTGTACAGCCCCACCAGAGATACTGTTAGGTGACTTGTGGTAAGCTTTATGCAGCAGTGGTGGAGGAAGGGCCATAACTGCTGGGGAATTCCTACTTTTGGACAAATTACTTAAATCCTTGTCATCTCTATCCCATACTATAGGTGAAAACTTTCTTTTTCTTTCCTCAGGAGGCTGGGCTCCGTTCTCCATTACTTTCACAATCTCACTATCTTTAATCACTGTCTCAGATCCTATGGCATCCTCTGACCCACTTTCACTAGACAATTCACCAGGCTCCTTATCTACCACCCTAAAAGAGAACTCACGTCGCCTGGGCCCACGACTACCTCCACCACCACCACCACCACCACCACCGCCACCACCACCACTACTGCCACCAGAATCACTTCTACTTGAAGAGGAACGATACCCACCATTTATCACTTCCCTCTCCTTAATATCCTTTTGTCTAACCCTAGCTCTATCTCTATCTCTATCTCTATCTTCCCGTACACGGACCCTTTCATTATCACGGATAACATTTCTAGATGGCTCATGATCTCTAGAATTAGATAATTCCCACCTTGTCACCAGAAAATCAGAGTCTCTGTCTCTAAACTCGTTATCATGATAACCCCCATGTCTCCCAGCACCCATGTATAAATTCCAAAAATCCGAAATCCTAATTCCCAATCAAGAAATTCCTTCTGAATTGTTTACTTATAAACCCTAAACCCTCGAAAACAACAAGTTCACGCCAAAATTTCCAATTTTTGATAAAAAAAAATAAGAGCCCAAATTCTAGGGAAATCAATACGAAATTAACCAATAAGAGCAGTTAAAATATCCAAACCAAAAAAAAAGTATCAGATCCTCGATTTTCGCGCTTTGTAGCTCGAAAATTTTTTGGGAAAATAATTGGATTATTGTGGAAATTAAACCAAAAGACGAAGTGGATAAACCCTAGAAATATTGGTAAAAATTAGAGCGAAGCATAGTTTTTTTCTCAATCTCTCAACGAAATTAAGAGAGTAAAGAGAATTAAGAGTGGCTAGGGCTTACCGATGGAGACGGAAAAAATAGACAGAAAGACAAAAGTCGGCGATCGCTGGTTCGTGAGAGAGAAAGAGAAAAAGGAAATAAAAAAAGGAAAAAGAGAAGAGCCTACGAAATCGCCAGGCAGCGAGAAGAGAGACGAGGCTAGAAAATTTGGCGAACCGAAACGCTGTGTTTTATTCTTTGGCTCTGTGTCGCGATTTTTAAAACAAAAGGAAAATTTTAAAAACAATCCATATTTCATTTATTAATATCGAAAGTAGAATGGTAAAATGAACCGTCCATATTAAAAGCTCAGCCCATTCTCATGTGTTAATGGGCTGTGTTAATCCAGCATTATTATTTAATAAATTGTACAAACAGTTTTGATCATGGCCCAACACGATCCATAAAAATTATAAATTCAGTAAAAAATATTAAAATTTGTAAGACTAATATTTTATTTATAAATTTTTTAAAAAATACATCAAAAAATTAAGACATGACATTATCATTTTATTTTTTATTCTCATCCTTCTATGATTTACATATTTATATAATGTGTTTTATTTTTTGCCCAAACCATAATTAGAGTGGACAATCTAACATGTTCTCGATAGATTTCGACTCGATCAAATCTTAAAAGATCAATTTTTTTTTTTGAAAATCGAGTTTTGAGTCGGGTAGGGTCGAGTAACGTTAAGAAAATGTCAGGTTCGGATTTTAGACAAATCTGATCCGATCAGATATTATATAAAAATAATTTTAAATTAATTTTTTATTTATATATATTTATATAAATATTTATTTAAATATTTATATTTAAAAAATAATATTTTTATATTTTAAAAAATAATATTTTATTAATTTCTGATCGAATCAGATCGAGTTCGAGTTCATGTATTTAAAAAAATCGAATTGAATCGAATTCGTGTTTAACGGGTGTAAAATCGAGCGACTTCAAAGTAAGTAAAAACTCATCCCGACCCGACCCGTTACCATCCTAAACCATAACCTAAGTAATATACATATTTACAAGTTCCTTTTTCTTTAAAAATGGCAAATCAAAATAAAAGGATTGTGATTTTATTTATCAAATATTCAAATATTAAATGTTTCATTCCTAAATTTATATAATACAAATGGTCTGGCTAAGATAATAAAAATAAAATAATTTTGATACAAAAATAACATAAAAGATATCTCAATGATTTACGCGTTTAACTCGTTTTATAATAATTATGGACACAACACCATATATAATTTTTGTTTGTGTGACATGTTGTGCTAATTTGTGTGTTAGTTGCTATCACTGGTCCTTAATGAATCATGATGTGTCAACCCAACAAACTTAAAACCCCTAAATCAACATGACATCAGCAAGTGAATTACGCTAGGCGCGATCAATTAGGCCTGTATCATGCTAAACTCGTCGTGTCTTAAGTTATCCAATCTATTCGATATCTTGAGTCGAAAGAGAATGACAATATTCAATAAGGGTGAGATGGTTCACTTTGTTTCATATTTGATTCGATTTTTTTAATAATATATAATATTATTAATTTTTAAAATTTTAGTTAAATTTAAATTAACATTATTTTGAATTTGATCGTAATTAAATTTTATTGGTTTAGTTCGGTTCATTAACTTTTAAAATTTAATTTTTTTTATTTTTATATATTATCTTAATACTATTTTTAATACATTTTAATATATTAATATATAAAATAATTATTTTTATTTTATAAAAATTTCAAATATATATAAATTAATAAAAGTATATATATTTTTTTCGATTTTTCACATTTCAATCCAAAATTCAATTCAAACTTAATATATACATTTAATATTCAATTTTAAATCAAATCAAATAAAAAAATTGATTCAAATCAAACTAAATACTATAATTTCAAATTAATTTTTTATTTTCTCGATTTTATTTCTTATCCCTAATATTCAATGATTTCAGCTTGAAAATCACCATTTTAGCCCTTAATTTTTAAGTTGCAAAATCTACATTTTTATTATTTTTTCTTTTTAAAAATATTTAAAATTAAACAAACAAGAAACTCTTGAATTGATGAAGTTGTTGCATGTAGGAAGGGGAAATTAAGAAAAGATGAAAGCTTTATTGCTTAATCTAACAATTTTTTTTTTAGTTGGCCATGGCTTCAGATAATAAATGTTAACACACATTAGCATTTTCCATTTTTAATGGAGGTTTATTTACGTGATGACTTGATTGCATTTTTTTTGGCCTTCGAAAAAAATAGCGTATCTTTAACACATATGCTTCATTAAATTCTCCAGAAATGGGAAATTAACAAGTTATAAGAAAATATATCCTTTTCTCAGGAAAGGATTCGAGACCAAGAGATCAAAATGTTAAAATGAAAAATTTTAGGTTAGGGGTATAAAAAATTTCTAAACTATAATTAAAAAATTATCCAAAATTTTTTTTTATTACAAGCAATCAACTCTTTTAACATTTATTGTATTCAATTAATTTCTTATTTGAATAAAAAAATTACAGTTCTTTTATTAACTAAGATAAAATTTTATATGACATAAATAAAATAGATGAAAATTTGACAACGACATAATTAATATATGTAAAAATTAAATAAAATAAACATTTCTTTTTTTTCCTTTATTTTCTCTGTCCCTCTTTCTAAGATCCTTATAACAAGTCAATTGGTTATAGTTCGGAAATTAATTAATTAAATTTTGCTACATTATTAGATATCATCTATTTAAAAATTCAATTAAGTCAAAATAAAAAATAAAATTTAATTAATTATAATAAATATTAAAAAGTTAAATGATTATTGAATTATGGCTCGAACCTTTAGCCAAAATTTTAAGTGGGACCTGAATACATCCAAGCTGACATTTAATACCATGACCGGCACTTTTGTTTCTGTCATCTTTCAGTAAAATTGCTTCATTGAGCAACCACAGCAACAACAACATGCTTATCATTGTACCATTATCAGTTCCCTTTTGAGTATTAACAGGACATATGGTAGTCTTATGCTCTTGCACTTGCTAAAAAAGTGGTTGGGGCTTGTTATTGAAGGAGCTAACATATGACTGCAATTTTCAGCATTAGTCACATCTTGGATATCCAAAAGTACATTATATATATTTTTTATTTATTTATCGAAAAAGTGGCTGAACAAGGATTGAAGCCGGATTTGGCATGTAATATTTACAGCAAAGTTACTACCAACAAAGGGAAGGCAACTTGAAAGAGAATGAAGGGGGCAAGTGACCTGTCCTCCTTATGTAATCTGCCCTTTCAGAAGTCCTCATAGCTTTCTCATTTAGTTTGGATTCTGCATTTGCACGCTTCTCTTCAGCTATTCTCCTTGTGGCAGCAAGTTTGTTAGCACACTTTTCTTTTGCCCAAGCTTTCAATCTCTCAGCCTTCACCTAAACACATAACAGTATTGGTAATGATTTTAATTTCAAATCCCTGAATGCTTTAGGAAAACTAATCCATGGCAGAAAAACAGCAAGGCTTTTTGAAATTTGGAGACAAATGCAACAGTAAGAAATGGAACATGTTCTGGTATTGTTGAGTAATTGCTGTTAACAATGTTTCTGTAGCAAGCATAACAGTGAAGGGTGTAACAAAAATATTTCTACAAGCTGCTTTTAGTCAACATCAACAACATGGGAGATGGATTTCCATGCCTTTGAGCTAATTTAGTTTATGTCATATACATGGAGCTAGCTACTTAGTTACCTCCATTTTCTTCATTTCCATTTCTGCTTTCCTCTTCTCATGATTTTCCCATGCCGGTATCTTTACTTCTTCGCGCTTATACCTAGAATGCAAGACATATGCTTATCAAATCACATCAGCTTGAGCAGAAAAAACTGCATATTACATCATTATTAACAACATCTAGTTCCATGAAAAGAATATTACATCTAACCTTGCCATATATTTGGCACGTTCCGCCTCATCCCAAGCCACAGCTTGAGTTTCTAGAGTATTCTGCTTTCTAGTTTGATCTGAATTATTGTTCTCAAGTATCCTGGATTGTTGTCCATTTGGGCCATTTCCCCTGGCAGCTGCATTAGTCTCACCTCTGCCCTCAGTCGATGTTGGACCTGCTTGATAGCCCTCTGCACTAGGTACACCATGCTGGCACCTTACTGGGGTGGAAGATCCTGAAGAAATAGGACTCGTTGCAGCAGGAGTCGTGGCTCTGATAGGTGTTGTTGTTCTTGATGGCTCTTGGCTTGCAATAGGGCTCATCTCAGTCCCCATATCTCTCACACATATTGATCTAACAACTGATGTTGAGTTCTCTGTGGGCTTGTTGATTCGCCAAATCGACTCATCACAATCCACGTTTTTTGTTTCTCCTTTGTATTTGTATGACATTGCAGCAGCAAATCCATTTGCTTGTGCTGCTCCTTCCTCGCTGCTCGAATAATCTTGTTCCTTCTGCGGAACAGGTGCTATTAGTCTTCTGTCATCAGCGTTGGAGTTTCGAGGTCTGGTGTTAGATTGGCTTTTGTCTCTACCTCTTGACAGTCCTACTAGCCATTTCTGCGCATCGTCCCATTTCGAAGGTGTTGGTTTGCCAAAGGCAGTTCGATGATGAGATGCACTGTTGTTAGTTCCATTCCCTTGATGAAACTCAAAGCTGATGGCACTGCTGCTTGAAATCTCCTGAGCTGGTCCAAGGTTATAGCATCCTTTATCTTCAATAGATCTCATTTTCTGATCAACAAAAGCTTCTCTGCTTTATCTTCAATAGATCTCATTAAAATAGAAATGGCAGCATAGTTGTAGCAAACAAAAACAAAAATGTTCAACAGGAACCCAGGAAATATCTGAAGCTTCCTTCATAGGAATCTATGCAGCAAAGGGTCCCATCATCCATGTGGGATTTACCCACAAAGCTATATTTGATAACACTAAACAGCCATAATAAAAAACTACTAATAGAAGCTATTTGTTAAGCGTTGTTGCTGTCAATGAAAGCTCAATAATTTCCCAGAATCTCTAAACAGATTGGACAAGACTTTCATGTTAAAGAAATAAAAAGAAGAGAAAAGGCAAATGGGTTTTCCAGAAGAAAAGTAATGCAACAGAGAAGAATGCCTTAAAACCATGGATCTTTGATGACACATTGCCAGAACAAAAGATAAAAAGTTTCAGAACTTCAGATCCATTAAACATTAAAGTACTCAAAACCAACACTATTTTCTGGAAACTTCGAAGTTTGAACCAACCAAAAACCAAACATAAGGCACTTTGGCACTGTAACTAATGGTAAAAAAAAAAACAAGTGGGAATTCTCAACTCTTTGCCTTACCCTCTAAATGGGAATCTTGGGAACAGTTTTTAAGTGGAAAAAATGTTTTCTATTGAATATCACTTACTTCCCGGAGAGAAAGTTGATTTTTTTGAAATATGGTTACCCTTTCAACGGCTACAAAGCAAAAAGGGTGACGAATGGAGGGCGGAGGATTCAGGAAGATTATCAGATGAAAATCTGAGGCGGTGTGTCGGTCCAAGATCGATAATAGAGGGGAGAAGGAGATTTTAATAATGTGGGTGCTCTGAAGTCATTCACGTGGCTGTGATGGGCCACATCTGTGGGATAAATTGATTATTGGTATTAGCACAGCATTTCTTTCATTTCCTTTTGCGAGAAATGTTGCATGTGCTTATCAGCTAGGTATGAGAAACAGGTGAAAAAGCAAAAGTTGGAACAGTCAGGAATTCAGATGATCATAGGAATGGAGAAACGAGGAAGGTTGGCTTTATCCTAATATAGGTCATTAATGTCTGTGTATGTTATAATCAAAATAATGCCGGTGTATCCTCATGAGAATTATTGCGAGTTTGATAACTGCAACATTTTCTTCAAGAAAATGAGATGAATTTGTAGATTTATTATCTTACCTGATCTCTTTTGATCCACTTGTTGAATAAATTCACTATCTATTCAAATGTTTATGCTGTATAATTGTCAAAATCAAACCGCCTTAAAACTGTTTTTCACTGCCATTGGCATTGCTCACCATCTATTACTGAACCACAGGTCATAAATCAACAAATAAATTGATTCAAGTAAAATACCCTAGCTAAAACTTAGTTAAGGAATGAGGACTGCCAATTTCAAATACCACACGAAAATGATAAAAAAATAATAATAACAATAATATGATTAAAATTTTAACAAAAATTATATTTTGTACTTTTATGTCAACACAAATTTTAACATTCAATTTTCGTGTAAGATAAAATAAAAATACATGAATTATCAAGTCTGCATAGCCGGTGCTAGAAAGCCATAACTGATAAGTATCACAGAAATAATTTTACATTTAATCAGATTGAGGAAATCTGAGATTCCAATTACATGTATCATACTGTCATGACTTTTCATTACACCGGATACAGAATCAATTTAAAATTAAGATGCTACTGGTAGCAACATGATACTGCAGACATCTCAAACTTTAGCATTCGAATCTGAGAAATCTCCCTCGAGGGCAAAGGTCAGCGAGTTGCAGTTCTTTTGCGTGGCAGAACAAGTTCAAACATCAAAGCTATTGTCGAATGATATCTATGATCTACATGAGCATCAACTTTAACTAGCAGTCAGAGTAATTAAATAGCCAGCAACTGCTGTAATAACACCAAGCAATCCACCAGCAATAACCTGTAATTGAATTGAAATGTTAAAATTTATAAATAGTTATCCTTGTACATAACTCTTCCATATAAACAACCATCTATGATGACCTTGCAGCGCCTGATTTATCAGAAACAACATGAACAGTATTAAAATCCAAGATGTAGAGTAATATTTATGTTAAAATATAACTCAGATGAACCTAGAGTTTAACTCAGTTGGTTCATACAGTCACTTTTAAGAGGTAACATCCAATAGATCTGAAATTCAAATCCCAGCACCTACAAGCCCTTCCCCTATTCCTGTACTGCGGTCTCCTTTGTATAAATATATATATATATATATATAATTCAGATTGTTATAGCCCGTACTGCGGTCTCCTTTGTATAAAATATATATATATATATAAATAATTAGGATTGTTATAGCCATTAGTTGCAATATATGAAGATTTGAAGGTGGGTTTCATTCAAATATATGGATATTAACTATGATATTGTTCTGAAAACACATAATGACTCAAGGACTTCACCTTCTCATTAATTATTAATTAAAAAAAAAAGCTTAACTAAAGGATGTTCAAGAACAACAAATTATCATGTGGTTTAAGTAATTATAGCCAAAAATCTGCTAAGGAAATATACCTGGGGAGGGGTGTGACCAAGAAGTTCACGTAATGGTCTGCTCTCAGCCAAGGGATGTTCAGCGGGCAATTCATAAACAATTTGATTCAGGACCTGAAGAACATAAGGTTTGGAACTGAATACATGAAGAAACTAAGTTTAAACCAAGTGATTATGCATCTCATTTCATAAAGAGAGAATGCAGTATATAACTAAAGCTTCTATAACATCCCAATTACTAGGAAATGTTAGGGGATGAGAATAATTAGAAAACACCAGCAATAGAATCAAACCTCTGCCTGCCGTCCAGCCTGTAATCTTACACCAGTTGCATCATACATTACCTACAAATCAGATTCACCCCATCAAAACTCAATCCAAAATGTAGGCAATATTGGTGACATGAGGAACATAGTCATTGGTTATAACCCATATTGCATTTTTTTCAGCTATCAGAAATTGATATTAGGAGAAACCATAGATTAGCATTTAGCACTAGAAGGGACAAAGAAAGCAATATTCAAAATCATGTCCTCAGACTTTAATTCTATGTTATTTACATAGTTTAGATGCCAACCATAAAATGAGAAACAAGGGATCATACAATGCATGCTAAGATCAATGCAGTTGCAAATAGTGCTCCTCTGAAGCCTTCTTGTAATCCAATAGCTGTAGCAAGAGCAGCAACTGTGGCAGAATGCGATGAAGGCATCCCACCAGATCCTACAAGTTGCTTGATATCACATCGTCTTTCCTTGTACCTGCAAATCTAGGAAACCTTAAGACTCTTAGGAGAAAACTAATTATAAAGTATAGCGGAAAAACCAATGCAAATAGCAAAGCAAATACTACGTAGTATTAATCAGTTGTACAAGATTACCACTCAAATTCTATAATCTATCAATTATCTGCACTAGTACCCTAAATGGTTCCTTGTACAAACATTTTCTTCCCCATTCCATAACAAACAGCTGCAATTGGGTTATGAAAAGAATAAAAAAGAAAGCATTGAAACTCAAAATGCTATCATCACAAAATAGATATTTAACCAAGAAGTAAGTCAAACGCTATGAAGATGATAAGCAACCCCAGGATTCAAGAATATATATATATATATATATATATAGATAGATAGATAGATACACATATATATATATCTACAAATATGGGTGGATGTTGTGTAGTTATGAACTTGGGTTTAGGGTTAATTTAAAATTGATTCCTCAACCAGGTCATATCAATTAATCACTCCAAGATCTGCAAAAATAATATTGACATATTTGGTAGTTGTAATCAATCACTTATGATCTTGATTACAACCTCCAGCTCTAGAATCAGATCAAGTTATGACCTAAATAAATATGAAGGCCAGTGTTTTCCATTAATGATTAAAACAGAAATTACCCAGTTCAAAACTCTTTGCAACAAGTCAATTCGAAGGCAATTAATAAAAAATTCTATAGATTGTACATGCACTGAAATGATTCTCAGATGTGGAAACAGAAAATAAAAAGAAATATAAAAGGAACAAGCAAAGACTTAAGATTCATTGAAGCCAAAACAATTGATGAAAGAGAGAGAAAGAAAGAGAGATACCAGGAGGTTAAGAACTTGATAGATTGGGCAATAGCAAAGGCAAGAAAAGCACAAATGAGAGGGTAGTTTGTAAAAAAGGAGGAAGAAGACATTGATGAAGAAGATGAAGACAATAATGATGAAGTATTCTGAACCAAAGTTGCTGATGTAGCTGTCATTTCCTTCATTATCTCTTTTTCTTTTGGAAATTCTTTCCTTGTTATAGAAGTGTACTATTAAATCTTATTGATGAAAAAGAAACAGAGAAACAGATGAAAAAAAGATTGATTTTTGAAGACAAGAAAACCAAAAAGCAAAGACTGGTTCTTCCAAGGTAAATGAAGAAGAGCGGATTAGGTGGCGAGTTTAATGAATCCTTTGGAAGCAGAAGGAAGAGAGAGAGAGAGAGAACAGGGATTGCTTGTTTTCAAATATTACTTGAATTAAAGAGAGGGTTGGCGATGGTATGTTGATGCTTGCCTGTGATTGGTTTTACAATGTCAACAACAGCAACTAACGGTCTTTGCCTTCCCTAAGGCTCCAAAGTTTCAACTGAATATGCCACTCCCTGTTCCAAATCATGTCTCGATTATACCCTCCACTCTCCACCAGCGGCCAGGGCTCCCAACCTAATTTTTTTTCCTTCTTATTTGGTTCTTTTCTTTTTATTTTTTGGTTAAATTTCTTTTGGTTATTATAAGCTATTTCTCTGATGACCATTGTCACTTTTTCTTTTATTTCATATTCTTGAAAGAATAAAGATCTGATGTCATATGGTCATAGGCAAAAACCTAAAAGGTTTGCAATTAAAATTAAGACAATAAATGAATTTAATATAAATAAATAAATATATATTCGTAATTTATTTATTTATTTTTGAAAGTATTTATGTTTGATTTGTATTCGATTTAATTAAATTAAATAAATTTATTTGTAAACATATCGTGAACATTAAACGAATATATTTATAAACATATATAAATAAACATATTCATTAATAATAAATAAATCATAACTACATAATTTAAACAAATAAATATAAATAAACCCAAACGAATATAAACAAATCTTAAAATAAGATTAAGATAAAAGATAAAAATATAATTTTATTAGTATTATTATAAACGAACAATAAACAAATAAATTTTAAACAAACTTTAAACAAGTCGATTCATAAATATAAATGAATATAACATATCTTTGATTGTATTCGAATTGTTTAATAAAAGAATATAAAAATATTATTTAAAATTATTTGTTAAATTTAATAAATAAATATAAATAAATAAAAATCGAACATATTCATAAACAATTCATTAAAATTTCTATTTATTTACACCCCAAATTAAAATAATTAATCAGTCTAAAATGAATAAATGAAAATATTTATCTTACTATTCAAAAAATGGTTTTAATTGTAATAGTTTTCACTTCACATTTTAAGTTATGAACATTACCCTCCATCAACAACAGAGAGTGAAAATCTGGTCAAAGTTCATATCCCACCAAATATAAAACGTTCATTTCGTTAGATCAAATGATAGAGTGAGCAACAGAAATGTTCTGTTGGACAAACGTGATTGGAATATTACAAATTCTTTGAAATGAAATTTAATGGCCACAAAAATTGATAAGAGGCAACGGTATATTTGTATTGTATCCTTGCGATCTCCTCAACGAAACGTGAATTGAGGAGACTTCATAACTATTGATTAAAACAAAGATTTGCCTATCCCACAAGCATTAATCCAATCGATAAGAAAAAGTTTTCATTTTACTATCAATCAAGCAATACTTTATCTTCATGCAAATTATTTTTAAAATAAAATTTTAAATGTTTAAGAAAACATCTTTAATATCATTATAAAAAATGGATAAATATATATATATATTTGACCCTTATATTATATACATTCTGTCAGTTTGATATCTAAAAAAATAAAATTATCGATTTAAAATTTTCATTTTTATTTTGTCATTCACTTTGATGTCTCAAATTAATATCGTCAATAAATTTATTAATATGATATGAATATCTAATAAAATATTGACAAATATAAAAAAAAGTTCAATCAACACAATAACATCAATTATCACGTCAATATTAAATTTTTTTTTAAAATTCAAAATATACTAAGAAATTTTAAATAAATGTAAACAAAATAAAAAATCTTAAATATTTTAAAAAATATAAAAAATTATAAAAGTCTAAAATATTTTCAAAACTATAAAAAATATTTAAAATAAAAATTTTAATTTCAAATTAAAGAAATAAAAATCGAAAAATCTAAAATTTTTGGAAAAAATCTAAAATTTTTAAAAAATTGTGAAAAAATAAAAAAATTTTAATATCTAAAACATTTTTAAAATTTTACAAAAATTTAAAAATAATAAAATTTTAATAAAAATCCAAAAAATGAAAAAATTTAAAAAAAAATTTTGAAAAAAAAAACCCTTAAAAATCTACTACAAAATCAAAGAAAATTCAAAAAAGTTCCAAAATTCAATAAAAATATAAAATTGAAATTTTAATAAAAATAAAAAATAAAAATTCTTAAAACTAAAAAAATTTCAATAACTTCAAATAACTGAAAATGCAAAAAAAAAAAAAATTTCATTAAAAATCACAAAATTTAAATATTCAAAATATTAAAAAAATCTGAATAATATTTAAAAAATTTAGAAAAATTAAAAATTTATGAATGATTAAAAAAAAAAATCCAAATGTTTTAATTTTATTTTCTCAAATTTTCAGATCTTTTTATTTTTTAATTTTTATTAACATTTTCAGATTTTTTTTATTTTTTGAAATTTTCAAACTTTTTAAAATTTTAAAATATTTTTTAATATTTTCAAATTTTTCCAAAAATTTTTTTGATTTGTTAATTGTTAGATTTTTTAATTTTTTTAGATTTTTAAGAAATTTTTATTTTTACTAAAATTTGAATTTTTTGATTTTTTTAGAAGTTTATGGATTTTTATTTCTTTTTTTAGTTTTTTTTTAATTTTCAAAATATTTTAAAAAATTTATAAAAATTTTTAAAATATTTCATATATTTATCTTTTTATAATATTTTATTTTTTTTAATTTTTAAATTTTTTAAATCTTTGAATATTAATGTAATGGTTGATGATGTGACATTAATTGAATCTTTTTAACATATGTTAACATTTATTGGATATTTAAACTAATGGCATTAGTTCGACCTATCAAAATGGATAATAGACTAAAAATTAAAGTACAAAACGAATAATTTTAATTTTTTAAATATTAAATTGATAGAAAAATATAATACAAAAGACAAATGAGTATTTAATCCTTATCTCTTCTTCTTTATACAAAAAAAAAAAAGAAAAAATCTAAAATTATTTTTAAAAAAAACAAAAATTAGCCCAATGGCAAGTTTTTATTTTACCTTTAACATAGAAAATTATTTACTTTGACATTTGATTTAAGACACAAACTCAAGCGTGCACGCTCTTCACTCTTGACCGTTGAATTGGTTTAACTTTGATTTAACACCCTCAACCGGCTTTTATTCCTACAATAATAATAACAATCCAAATTCCTGGTATAATCCCGATTCCTTTCCTTTATTGCTTCATAAATCACTATCCATAACATATCCAATGCCGGGTGAGGAATTTTCCATCAGCCCATTAGATAATCCTTTTAGTTTGATATATAGACAGATGGACTGTATTTGTATTGGATTGGATAATTTTATAGTACTTGGCTTTAGGTTAATAGATAATATAATATGATAATTATATTATATTATACTTAGTTTGTATTTAATTAAATATAATAAGATTATAAAAAAATTATTATCCTCTCAATGTAAAATAATTCAATCCTCATAAAATTAAAAAAATTATTTTTAATTCATTAGATTAAATTTATATGTCTTATTATATGTTTAAAAATTTATCAATAATTTAAATTATATAAATTTTAAAAAAATAATTTTAATCAATAAATTATTTTATCTTAATTTTTACATACATCAAATATAATATCATTTTATCATTATCATATCATAATTTTATATATCAAATATAATATTAATTTTTTACGTGTTAAATATTTTAAAATTCATCAAATAATTCATAAAAAAATCTCTACACAATTCTATAGAGAAATAATACCATTTTCTATTATTCATTGCAAAATGTACTATGTATTGTTTAAATATTCATGTATGTCCTTGATTATTCCTTTTTTAATAAATGTGCAAAAGAAAAAAAAATCTTCTAATACACTAAATAATTGTAATTTAAGATTCATGATAATATGTTTAATTCATAATATATTTGTCACTTATTTATTTAATTAAATATCAATGAATGAATGTATTATGTGACAATAATATAGTTATCAATTCTCCAGAATTACCACTAAATTAATCATATATTTATTATTAATTTTAATTAATGTACTCATAAATTGATTAACCATATACAAAGTATCAGTAATATATTTATTAATCTGAGTGACAAAGAGTTCAGTTTTCCTTAAGTAAAGTTTTAGTTTCGAGTATTGTGAATGAAAAAAAAAAAAGTTAAAAAGAGTTTGTCCCCCTTATGAATTTTGATATGGATCTGATTTAATTTAGAATTAATTGAAGGTCAAAATGACTGTCGGACATTAGGATCTCAAACAAAAAGGAGTATTAAAAATTTAAAACAAACCTCATTCGCTTTCAACCGCTCAACATCAGCTCAATGCACTACCCAGCCATTTCGTGGTGAGGAAAAGAGCTAGCAAAATAAGTAAACCCTCCTTAACCCTCAAATAATTTCGAACTATATATCTTATATGCAAGCTACAAAAAAGAAAAAAAAAAGAAATTTAAATGTTAAATTCAACCAATTCTGCATAAATGGATATTCTGGTTTGAAATGACCTATGCAGGATAGCTGAAACAGCCAAACGTTGGGCCAAAGCAATAAACACAATAATGTAGAAGCAATATATCGCAATAAACTCACAGTAATAGATAACAATCAATAATAAAAAAAGCAGAAAAAATAAAACACATCAAGATTTACGTAGAAAACCTTTCAATGTAAAGGAAAAAATCACGAACAACAAAAAAAATCTTCACTATCAAACTAAGTCTCTTACTTTGTAAACAACTCTCTTTTAGAAACAAATGATATGTCGTTTTTGTGTTAACTATCCACTTAATGTCGGGATTACCAACATGATTACAATCACCATGTGTATAAATCAAAGTAACTGAATCACTATTTGAATTCACTTCTGCAATATTACTATCATTTGAACTATTATCTTTTTTATCTTTTCGCTTTTACTTCAAGATTTTACAGTATTATTTTATATGACCTGCTTTACTATAATAGAAACACTTTAATTTATATCTGGACTTGGATCTATATTTAGAATTACTATGGCCTTTTGAGTTCTGACCTATGTCGATATTTTTACCCTTGTTCTTTGTAACTAGAGCTTGATTCCTAAGGTCTACATCTTTTTGTCTTGCTTTTTCATTAAGCATATTATCCTTTATCATTTCTAATGTCACTTATAATCAGGAGTTAAATTAAGAACATATAAAATTAGAGTATTTTAGCTATCTAGCAATGAACCTAAAAGAAATAATGCCTTTATTTCATCATCCATCTTAAGCTTTATAATAGTTATCTGATTAAATATATCTTGAAAATCACTCAAATACTCTGTAATCGATCGTTCATCCCTGTACTATAAAGTTGTAAGCTTTTTAACAATCATAACTTTATTCATATCTATTTTTTTCTCATACAATGCTACCAATTTTTTTTAAACAATGTGAGTATCTACCTCTTGCACTATATGATGAAATACGCTGATATCAACTAATTTTCTAATTATAGCCAGCATCTTTCTGTCTAACTTATTTCAGCTTTCATATTTCATATCTGCTGGTTTAGTCGAATCACCAAATACTGACTCATATAAATCTTTACAGTATAAATGATCTTCCATCATAGGCTTTTAAATTGAATAATTTGATGCTATCAATTTTATCATGAAATTTGTATCACCCTCCATGATCTCAAACAGAATTTACTTCAGTCTTGGACTACTTCTGTATTGTTGTCTCAAAATAACCTTCGCTTTGATACCACTTGTTGGCCCTAAAGCAATAAACACAACAACACAAAAGTAATATATCGTAATAAACTCACAGTAATAAATAACAATAAACAATCACTAACATAAGAAAAATAAAGTACACCAAAATTTATGTGAAAATTCCTCTAATGTAGAGAAAAAAATCACGGACCACAAAAAAAAATTTTACTATCAAATAATAGGTATACAAAGTTCTTCTCTAGCTAAAACTAGAGTTAATTAACAATTAAAGAGACAATTGAAAAAATCTCATCAAATAAGTGATTCAATAAATATACATTGAATTTATTCCTAGAGAGTTTCAAACCCACATTCATCGTTCAGAATGTAAAACTCTTAATCATAAACCTATTGATAAAATTTTAATTCAATCGAACTACGGATCGACTTTCGTTCAACTAACTCTCTCTTATTTTTTTTCTTTCTATTATTTTTTAGCTTTTTTTTTAATTTTGTGACATCATCTTAAAATAATCTTACCTCTTTTTATTAAAGGTCTAAAGTATTATGTAAAAAAAAACTAAGATCCGGCCCAAAACTAATTATACGGGATTGGATCTCATTTTTCTAACACCGAAGTGTTAAAGATCGGGATGCTGCTAGCGGTAAACAAATGCACAATCACTGGCAGTTTTGAGTATGAACATTCCATCCCAATAATTGCGTGATCACGCACGCTGATGCATTAGATCAAATGCAAAACATGTCCATTTCAGCCGTCGGAGTCTAAGGGGTGTAAAATGTTGAAGATAAAGAGCTCCGCTGCTAAAATTTCCTGTCCAGGATTTTTGTAAAGTATCGCTAAACGCAGTTTACCATTTTCTCTTAGCACCTTATTTTTTTTAAAAAATTTTTGTAAATAAAATTATTTATTTTTTTAAATAAATTTTTAAAATTTATTTTTGTTATTTTTGAATCGCATCAAAATATTTTATAACAAAAATTTTTTTGACATTAAACATGAAATAAAAAAATAAAAATAAAAAAACTATTGATCTTTTATTTTATGTATTTTTTACTTCAAATAGGTGAAATTTTAAGTGCTTTTTTTACTTTTAAATTTTTTAATTTTTCTTTTACTTTTTGATTTGATTTTGAGTTTAATTTTATAAGATTTCGTTTTGAAATGTTTTGATGTGTCTCAAAACTTCTAAAAATAAATTTTTAAAAAATTTTAAAATATTTCAAAAGTGGATGTTCAGAAAAATTTTTAAAAAGTTATATAATTTTTTAAAATTTTATTTTTTGAAAGTTTATAATTTTTTGAAAATTAATTTTTAAAAATTTATGTAAAAAAATAATTAAATAATTTTACTTAAAAATTTTTTTTAAAAAAATTATAGTTTAAAGAGAAAAGGTGAGGTAACATTTAGCAACACTTATTTTTATATTATATTTAAATCTTAAAATACCCTTGGGCTATTGGACTCTTTCTTTCGAATACCGACGTTTGGGACATACCTAAGCCGCAATAATTTTTAGATTTAGCGAGATTTAACGATTCGTCTTTATCTGTTTATAATTTATTTAGCTTACGTCAAATATAAAATAATTTTATTTTTATTAAATTTATATATAAATTTATGTTAACACATTAAATATAAAATATTTTAATTTTTATCAAATTCATATAATTTTTGTTTCTTTTAAACCACATAATTTTCATATTTTTTTCATATCATTTTCATAAATGATATAAATCTAAAATTATCAAAACTTTTGCAATTTTTTTTTCTTAGCATTCTATTTTAATTTTTTCGATCAAAATTGTTCACTCTCAAAATTTCAGGCAATAGCGTGCGAAAGACAAAACCAAAACAAAAATAATAATAAATGTGAAAAGTTTTTGTCTCCCAAATTATTTCAGTTACTCAAAATTGAGCTATAATTTCAATAATCATAATAATGAATATGAATGCGGGGCTGGATCCGAAACAAACTGGAATTACTACTGAGAATTTGGCGATGGAGAAAAAGCATAATCCCCCCACTGCCTTTCACTATTATCAACCTAGAAGAAAAGAAAAAAAAAATTAATAAACAACTTTACAATTATGTCACCGACTTCAGGTGGCGTTTCTTACAACTAAATTTGGAACCAATGATAACCAATTGGCTGCAAATTCAAACAGCCTTTCAAACACAAATCCATTGAAATACAAAGCAATTGCCCATCTCTCCAAATATGACTGTAGGAGTGGCAAGGTCATGTGGAGGCTGGTGGAGCACTGCATGTTTGGTCTGAATGAAAGACTTACTCTCACATTATTGAGCAGTTGCACTTGGATTCTAGCTTTTGAGGCTTCGTACTGTCCAACTTGTTAGGAAGACCAACGTTGTGAATTGAAGATTCATCGGCATTCTCATCATTTTCAGTCTTGGTAGACACAGATTTTACATTGGTTTCTACCCACCTCTGCCTGACTTTATGAGATTTGGAAGTTCGTCTACCAACAGTCCTCCCCCGTAGATCCTTCCTGTCATAAGTGGATTTCCCCAAGATTGTTACTGTTGGCCTGGAACCTTGCAATGGCACTGAACTTCCCTTTTCAATGGCTATGGTCGCAGCCCGGTATGCAAGATCATGGACAATGGAACTGCAGAAAAGTATTGTGTCGGTCGCTTCTTCAAGTGTCAGGCTTCTGGCCTTACTTCCTCCATGACATTTTACCAAGACAGTTGACTCCTCTGTTAAAAAACATAAAAGGTCAAAACAAAATCTCACTGCCACTAATCAGAACCAAACTTTAGCAAAGGTCACCAATACATAAAAAAGTCATATCATGTAAGGGCTGCAAGCACTAGATATCTAAAAGACATCCCCATCAAGAAACAGAAATACAAATGTTATGCAATCTATAATCAGAGTAATATCATTTTTAAACTGTAAACACAGTGGCCAAGTCCATTTTATTCTTAGGTATGAATTAAAAATCATTGCAAAAAAAAAAAGAAAATTATACTAGTTTAGCAGTGCACGTACTGACAACAATAACATGGTGGCAAATGGAAGATCTAACATGATACCAAGTCAAGTATATATACAGGCATAATTCATTGCAAAGCATGCATTAATTTCACATCATTAGAAATTACAGCAATCTTGAGAAGAAAACTATTCCCACTAAAAGAGAAGGAAGCGTGGCAGTGGACAACGTCATTCAGGATATATGATAGCAGGACGTTATAAACATTCACAGCATCCTAGTAGCCTTTGGTAGAATTACATATGATGTACCTTCAAAGCCTCTATACCTGAGATCAATTGCACTAAGGTGATCTAAGAAATTGTGGTTGTTAACACATGCCAGTACAATGTTGATTGAAAAATCGTAAAAAATTAATGGCAAATAAATCTTCTAAATATTCCTTTTATGGTTAATTTTTAAACCAAATTAAAAGTACAATGTTATTGCACTCATTCAAAACTGAGTGCTAAATTTGATCTATCACCCTAGTAGACTGACAAATTTGGACTCCCAAAAGAAAAAGAAAAGTAAAAAGGCCAATCATTTCATTCCAATTGCATCAAATCTCACCTTCACTTTTCTGATATCAACATACACATGGTATTAAACTTTTATATTTTGATCTTTTGGATGCATTCACACCTAAACAGGTAACACAATAGTAAAAAGATAAACTCATAGCTCTTATTGTTTCTATTTACTACCATTATCAATAAAACTATAAGAAAGCAACAACGGTTCAAGAACAAATAGGTACTGCTAACTTTTAAAATGCATTGCATGGCTAGTTCATGAAACATTGAACATAGTTGCATCAAAAATTGTTTATTAAAAATGGTATTTGACATTTCAAAAAAATTCTCAGGAATGGAAATGAAATTTACTTCAAGGAAAGTTGAAAGCCCAAAGTAGATGACAACTAACATACCTAAAATGCCATCTGCATGATCTGACATTTCCTGAACGGAAGCTGTGGTATCCACATCTGAAGGTATGGAAACTGACAGGTCCATGGATCCCTTCTTGTTTCTCTCAGAATTTGGTGATGAGTCATCAAGTTCTAAACCGCAGGAACTCTGACAGGAATTCTCGATTTCTATTTCTGAGATTGTAGCCAAAGAGCTGTCGCCAGCAGCCTCAGCATCATCTACTCCATCAGGAGTAGCATTCAGGATGCTATGTTCTTCAAGAGTACAATCTAGAGTGATAGCTGATGCTTCAACACCAGAGACAATTCTATCAATACTTGGCATGTCATATCCATTTTCATACAAAACACAGTCTCCAGGGAGAGGAAATGATGCTGCTGAATTGTCCTCTAATAGCTCTGAGGTTAAAGTACCACTTATTCTACTAATTTCATTCCACTCAATACCATCTTTTTTGGGAATGGAAGCACCAGTGAATGTTGAACCAACTTCTGAATTTTCAGAACCCACCACTTTGGCTTGAGAAACTACAGCTATTTCCTCTGCTTCATCAAATTTCAGACTGCCAACAGAACCCTCAAAATTTTCTTCATTTGTGCTTGTTGCAAGACTTAAAGCTTGGTAGTTATTGCTTGAACTTTGAGACAAAGGTAAAGCAAAGCTTTGAGGCTTCACATTCATGTCATATCTGTAATTATCCAACTCAGATTTTTTACCACCTAACTGCCGTTGCACACGTGTATCTGTTTGTCTAAATGAGTTAAAATCAACAGAAGATGAGGCAGATATACTGCCATGTCCGATAGAGCTTCTGAAACTGTTAGAACTGTCTCTTGCATAAGACAGATCTTCATAAGGTATGGTTGCAAAAGTCCTACCTAGAACAACAGGCCCCTTGCTGCTGCTTGACCTCTTTAACAGTACTGATATGCCTGCAACTTCTGAGGTGTTAACCTTCAAAACAGAATGTTCATCAGAGTCCTGCAACTGCTCATCTCCAGTTTCCCTATCGGGTAGGGAATAACCAACGGTTGGTTGATCCATCTCTTGCTGGTAGCCAAGCCTCTGCTCACCTCCCTCTGCCAGAGACCTTCTAAGAGAATTTTCTTGAGAGAAATCTTCACTTTGCTTGATATTTTCCTCATGCTGAGAAGCGCAGGGTTCAACTGCATCAGTAACTTGCAACAGTGAATCAGATGGAGGAATTGAGGTTTCCAATTCATGAAATGGCTTATCTTCAGAAATTTTCATAGAAAACCCTGGAAAGTTCTTTGCAGTTACTATTGTCAGGTCACAGATGTCACCAGCAACAATATCATGTTGCCTACTGCAATCTGCGCAAAGACTGATTTCTTCTTCAACCTGTTCAATAACACGATACCTGCAACCACATTTAGAACAAATTTTTGTACTTTTAAAACAATCAACTTCTGAAAGATCACCCCAGTCACATTGAGCATCAGATGTTGAACTCATTTCCACTTCAAGACCATGGTTACTTAACTCCTTAGAACAGTCAGGGTCACATTGAATTGCAGAGTCTCTATCAGCATCTTCAATAAGAATATTAAGCAAGCCGTCACGGCTTTCACAGCTAGCATCCTGGTTTAACACATCCATCTTATCGAAGGCAAAAGCTTCTTCCTGAACATTGGCATAAGTTCCCTTTCCAGATTCACTTGTCATATCATCATGTTGGCGGTCACTCCCTTCAGTATCAAGCACAGCACTTGTACCTTGATAAGAACTTGCATTACTGCTGGTGGTAACAGATGAGTTCCTTGACATCAAAGAACGATGTGCAGAACTTCCCTTCCCAACATAGAAAGTGGTACTTGGAACACTAGATAATAGAGGTCTGAACATATTTGGAGGACTCTTCCGATGATCCTGTATCAAAATGTTGATAATAATAAACTATAAGTTGAGCAATGATGAGCAGGCACTTTTGATTTGCATTAAGCATGAACACTTCTAAAGGAAAGCAAGTGCATGTGCGAAAGGTAGAGGACAAGATAGAGTATGCAGAATGCATTAAAATTGTAAGCTATTTAACACATTAAAGCACATCAAATGAATTCTTATTGCATCAAAAGTTTACTTAAATATAAACTTTGATTTATAGAATGCATTCACTAAGTTAAATAGGAAATTCTAGAGTAGGAATTTCTTCCCCCCTTTTTGACATGCAAAATTAATATTGAACTCTGAAGCTTTCAATAGCTATCCAACCAAAAACTTCATAGTCATTTCAGCAATTAAGTCAGACTATAATTGCCATGCACAATTCTTACTAACCAACAGTAGCACATCATATATGTCATTCTAAATTATACCATAATGGTTGCCACCTCTAGATAGACAGCATTGAATTCAAACATGATATAGGAATTTGAGAATATTCTTCTGAGAAAACTAGCACAGGTTTACATTCCAATGGAAATGAAAAGACAGTTAAGTACTTAAGTTGACCTTTCGTATCCCTTCTTCCATTACCACTGACTAAATCTATACAACATCGGTAAAAAAGATTGGAGAGAAACACTTCGCTTTTTCTTTAATTTCCTTTTTTGGATGGCAGTCAGAATGGAATTAAATAAACTAGTAGCAGATAATGCAGGGTAGGTTCAGAATACTAAGCAATTGCTAAAGCAAAGAAATTAACCAATAAACTACCGTAATCGAAGCATATCGACCTAAAGAAAAGTAATAAAATACCATTTGACGAAGAGCAGAGTTAAAGGATCGTTTTGGAGCAGAACTTGGTGATAACACTCTAGCTGATTTCTTGTTAAAGGTCGGAACCTTGTTATCCGGGAATGGACCAAGTCTCCTTGTGACTGAATGGCTTGATCCACCAAGAGGAATAGATTGTAAAGAGTCTATCTCATCATCACCGGATGATGCTATGGAACCTTTACTGTATGAATTAAATTGGTCTCGATCATGGCTATGTGATGAACTGGCACTTCTAGAGGCAGTTGGGGACATTGATTGCCTGCCAAATCTTGCATCCCTGCCATTTTTAGATGCAGGTGAGGAACCCCTCACATACGATGCTGGTCGATCAGCCAGAGAAGTACGAAGACTACGTGGTGCCTCTAAGGAGAAACTAGGAACATTTGACTGCCATGCCCTTATTTTCGGTGATGAAGAGTTTCCCCTACTTTCTCTTATAGGAGAGGTTCCCTTTACCCCTGATCCTGCTGCTGTGCCACTGGTGCCTGTGCTTGTCCTTCGAGGAGTTGGTGTAGCAGACCTTTGAGCAGGTGTGGAACATTTACTAGGGGGAGGAGATGGTCTCCGAGTAGGTGTAGCTGACTGTATTGGACTGGACTGAGGTGCTGAAGATGGCTTTCCTCTAGCCTGGAATGTGCTATTCCCAGACCGAGGTGATGGGCTTAAACGATTTGGACTTGCACTGCCTCTACTGCTTCTGTAACTCTTGTCCATCTGCATATTTTTCATAGGGAATACAGGGAGAAGATTTTGAGAAGGCAAACTATGAGCTTCAATAGAAAACCTAGAAAGTATGTTAACGAACAAAGTTACATTAATTAATACACGTAGTTTCATTCCATAAGAGTGATATGATAACCTACTGTGGATGATCTTGATATGGAAATGGGTTGAGTTCGAGGTCTACCCCTGTGGGCAACATTAGCTGGTGGCAGCTCATCGTCCAACGAAGGAAAAAGCGGGGTGTCAGGTGGAGTTAATAACCTTCAAAATCACCAAGACAGATAGTTAGTCAGAACCAAAATTGCTTGCTTAGGCGATTGCCAATGACTTATTCTGACATACACTGAACGTAAGCAGCACCAATTTACATGCATATGTTACTATTTCTGCTTAGTTCCCAACCAAAAAGTTTTTCGCTTCATAATTCTAGATACAAAAGTTTGACAATCTTGAAGAGGAAGCCATGACCTACCATTCATAGTCATTTTTCTCCTCATCTGCATTAAGGAGTTCGCTAGTATCTCCCCGAACGGGAATGGAGATTCCAAGTTTGAAATCTGAAAAATGTTTCAGTTTTGTGTCTGTAAATGATAATTCAACAATAGAAAACAAACAGTAACATTAGTCTACAGACACTAATCTACATTCCTTAATTCACAGCAAACAAACCAAAATAACTGAAATGAAAAGTCAAAGCAGAAAATTACCAAATGAGTCTTCAAAGTTATCCGAAGACAGAAGCAAGAAATTCTCCCTTTCTTTGGACTGCACTTCATTAAACAAAGCAAGGTCATCATCCTTTTCTCTTACAATCAATCCACTCTCAAAACTAAGCCTGCGTCTGTGGTTTTCCCCTCTCAACTCCCTCCCTGGAGAGCATCTCAATGCTGGAGAAGGAGGCATCTCTGCTGCCCTAATCTACCCTTTCGAAACAATCACCGTAATCTCTCCATGAATCTAGAAATTAAGCAGCCATCCTGCTCCATAATTTACTCTGAATTCGCAGCCTTTTCGTGTTTCCAACGAACTAAAGCAGTCAACTTCCAAATGAAGATAAACAAGGCACAAGGCCTGTTTCTAAAATAGAATACTTGATAGAAAATCTTTATAAGTTGTCAAATTGTTGAGAATAACTGAAATGATCGTACATTCCAAAATGAGAGCTTCAGCACCAGAACAACACCGGCCAAATTGAGATGCTCATAACGTAACACAACCTCCGAACCCTTAATTTCATCAATTTAACAGTGAAAATACCTTCATTGAACAAAACCCTAAGTCAAAACTCAAAATTTTCAGCCACCGGTAACCGCTATGCTAAGCCTTTACTAATGCTGCTCAAAATTAGAGTGAGCGCGGAAATTGATTCACCGCTTCTGGAAAGCACACGTGAAGTTCCTTAGACTCACCAAAGAATCCCAAGTAATAAAAAATAGCCTTCAGTGACAAAACGAAGCTCGTTTTGATAACGATTGAGATCTCAAATTGGAAGAGAAAAGAAACGGAGCTTAAATGCCAATGTCAACGTAAAGAGTGTTGAATGAGACACTTGGATCTAATGGCATTTAATGCATTTTTCTTCTTTGAGAATATGAGTGTTGCAGGGCTCAGATCGGTGACATAAAGCAGAGACAGATCGGTTTCAAACGGAGACACCTCGAATTTTCTCGCATTTCTCTCTCCTTCGAGAAGAGAAAGTGGAATTTCAAAGGGAATATGATAACAAACCTTTGGCTTTTGTTTTTTCCTTAGCTGCTGTTCAGATTTGCTTCTTTCCTCCGTAGCAAGCTTTCGTTTTCTTTTTTCTTTTTCTCAGTCTTTCTCTCTCTGCTTCTGTGATATTTCTTTTTTTTTTTTTTAATTTTCATTTCTTTCTCGTTCTTTTTTTTCTTTTAATTTTTTTCGGTTTTAATTAACTTTAATTAATTTTTGTTTTGCTGCTTCAGTTTGAGAGTGCGGTAATTCAAGTTGACTACCGTAAGTTGCCGTTGTAATTTGTCAAATATCCGTACGGGTTTAAATTATTGGACCTTTTTATTTCTCATCGCAGCCATTTTTTCTCTACATTTTTTCACTTAAAAAAAATAACCAAATTGATTTCATTAATTAAAATTTATTTTTTTAATAAAAATTTTTTAAAATTTAAAATTATTAATAATTATTTATTAAAATTATCTCAAAAATATAATTTATAATTATTTATTTTAAATTATTAAATACGATATATTTTATTTTAATTTAAAATATTAAAAAATTTATTTACTTTTAAATTTATTTTTATCAAAAAAAATCTTTAGCGGTTTGGTGACGTTACGTTATTAATTTTGAAAAGATGTTGCTATCGTTTTTTTTTTTTTTTAGATTCGATACCATTTTGCATGTGGAGGGATATAACCACGTTGTCAAACACAAATTTATATTATGTAATTTTATTTAATTTTTTGTTGTATTATCCAGTAAGTTATAATTGTTAATTAAAATAAAAAAAATATTGTTTTCAATTTTTATTTTTTTCTTCCTTTGATTTTTATTTTAAAGTTATTTATTCGAAACTCAGTTCTTGAATTGTTGTGAGCTATGACTATTTGAGTCCGCACCATAATTACAACTTTCTTATTTTGTTTTTTATTGATATTTGTCTTTTTAAGAATTTAATTTTATCTTATTATAAATAAATAAATGTTATGTTTGGACAACCAAAAGTCTTGATTATCTAATATCCAATAATGGAAAGAATTAGATTTAAAATGATGTCTTTGTTATTGGTAGATGTAGGGGAAAACTTAAAAGCCAAATTGAGTTTTTGATTAGGATTCATGAACGATGTATGGATTAAATAACAATTAAATTAGGTTTACTATCAATTATGGGTCTAGGATTGATAATCCTTCTCCCTCTTAAAATTTCATTAAAAAATTTGTCTCATAAATAACTTTAATCATTGATATTTTAAATATTTTGCTAAATTAAATTTTATAAAATATATATGAAAACATTTTCATTTAAGGTTTGTTTAAAAATTTTATATTTTAATGGGTAATATATTTAAAATGAAATAAAGTCATAAATCGTAATTAAAAAAGTTTAATTACAAAAAAATTAAGAAAATATTTATGGGACTAAAAGAGTAATTATTTTATTATTTGATTTTTTTCTTACACAAAGAGCGATAAAAATGTTCAGAAATGACTTTGAAAGTGGAAACTGTGATTTTTGGAGTCAAAAATGATCTTTGTCTCGTTGAATTTTCCAGTTTGCTTTTGGTGGTGCACGTGAGGCTCGTGGGTTTCCGTTCATCTAATTACAGCTGCAAAAAGCCAAGTTGGACTCAAGTCTCTCTCCCAACACACGTGGCGTACGACAGACGGCTCGTTCCTTTGTCAGATCTTACTTTAACGTAGATCCGACGGTAATTAAAGCCCATTAACTATGAATCGTATCGGAGTTTACTTCAAGGTAGGATGTCTCTCAAAAAGCAAAAAGTAAACTAAAGTCTAGTAAAGTCATTTCATACACGTGTCATTCTGTTAGAAGCCAACCTAACCCTGAGCCGTGAGGTGCGAATCACCTTATTCCATCTTGTCATCGTCGCTCTAAACGCCCGCGTTTCAACATGGATGCAGCAGCAATAGGTAAAACGACGTAGCTTTGTTCTTGCTTCCGAGGAAATTTTATAGGCAGTGAAAGCAGTAGCTCGACAGTGTGGCGATTCAGTTTCGATACTTGAGGAGTTGCGATCTGATGTGGGCGGCTTTAAGATCCCGATATCTGCATCCATCTGCAACATCGTTGCCTTCTTCCTCTCTCATTAATCGCCCGTGGAAGCTAGGGTTTTTAGGTTTAAATCAGACGTTCTCGTCATCCAGTGCGGAGAGCAGTAGCAAAGAATTGCTGAGCCTGCAAGAGGTGGAGAAGGTTCTGAGCGATGTGAGAGCAGATGACGTGACGGTGATTCCGGTTGGGAATCAGTGCGATTGGGCCGATTTCATGGTGATTGCCACCGGTAGGTCCAGTTGGCATGTCAAGAACATTGCCCAAGCCCTAATTTACAAGGTACGCTTCTTTTTTTTTTTTTTTCAACTCAAATTTCTTTTATTCCCTAGTTTCCTCGGTAAATTTGAAAATTACTTTCCTCCTTATCTGTGATTATTTTTAGGTAAAATCTGTTAATTTTGGCTAGTATAGGTTAAGCAGAAGCAAAAAGGAGCTAAGCGGTTGGTGCTACCCAGTGTGCAAGGGCAAGAGACGGGAAAATGGATTGTTGTTGATTCTGGTTCGTGCTTCATTCCCTACTCTTTAACTCTGTTGTTTCTGAGTTATTTCTTTGTATGCTTGTATCGTGTTGTCTGATAGCTGCAAACCCTTCATTTCGAAAATGAAAATGAAATGTAAGGAATAAGGTTGCAAAGATAGTGTTGCTAATGATTTTTATGCTAAAATCAAAATGTCAAATAAAATGCTTGCAATTTGCTTCTGCATTTTGTTTTCTGGAAATGAAAGATAAAATTGTCGCCGAAGCCAAAAAAGTCTTATCAATTTCTGTCTATTGTAATTTGTTTGCTGCTGAGGCAAATAACAGCTGGTCAAGTTTTTTCTGTCAGTATGCCGCTTGGGAGGAATTGATCTACTCTGAGAATATTCTTAGGGCTTAGTCACTTAACACATATAAGTGGCTAGCAGTTTCAATTCTAGGAAGATCTGGAATGATGTTATCCTGTTCTATATTTTCCCACTAGTTTCATGCAAATTGTACGCCATGTTGACATTTTAGTTTTCTGGGGCTATTTCTTTTCTTTAGGCAGAGTGATAGTTCATGCTCTCGATGAGAAGGCAAGAACTTATTACAATTTGGAAAAGCTTTGGACTGTGAAGACGGTCCAGAAGGAACCGGTTGAGGTAATCTGTAAACTTTGATCTACAATGATGAATTCTAATAATTTTGGTGTCAATTATTTTATGAAGCTGTTTATACCCCTGATGACCAGAGATAGTCAGGTGTAGCTTCTCCATTGGATAGCCCATCGATGCATGTGTCATGCAATTCCCTTTGTTTTATGGTGTTACACCTCAGGAGAACATTCCACTACCTTTATTGATTGCATACAACAGTAGGTCATAGTATTCTAGCCAAACTTTGAATATGACAGAGAATGTGTCTAGATTTCCATTAGTTGTGCTAGCAAGTAGCAAGCATTTGGTTGAACATGTGGCATATTCTACCGTAAGGTATACTTACCACTTGTGTATGGATATGGACTTAAAGAGTAGAGATACTCTATTCGCTGAGTTCCAAAAGCAAAATAATCCTTATATATTGTTCATGTCTCACCCTTAGGATCATCAAAATGAACTTTATCTGTTAATTACATATAGCCTATAGGTCATTCTTATCTTTACCTGGTTCATTTAGTTGAGAAGAACACACATTTTCCCCTTTTCATCTTCTTAGGTTTTCTCTTTTTTTTTTTTTTTTTTTATATTTGAGGTTATCAGGATTTGAATCTTGTTCACTAGAACCAAGAATCCAGCACTCTACCAACATACCATGCGGTTGTTGGTTTTCTCATTCCTTTCCTTTCTTGCTTTTCGTAGCAATTTTCTGTCAAATCTTTCCTGCAGATGCAAAATATTTGCTAATCAATCTCTTAAAACTAACCATTCCTTTTTGTTTCTTTCAGGATTTGACAAAAGCTTTTGTAAAGGTTCGTCGAATTAATAATTCCAAAAAGCCAGCCCAGAGAAGTGCTTAAACAATGGAGTTCCTTTATATAATGGGTTGTTCACTTGGATTTTGCAGTTGTAGTTTTAGTACATTATAAAGTTCTTTGCTTGTTGTACTCGAAAACCATCAGCAGTTATTTCTGGAGCGTGCGTTGTGCTGGTCTATTTAGCTTTTGGATGGCCTGTTTTATGGGGTAGAAACCACCCCCTGTACTTGTTTTGAAAGTGCGTGATAAAATTGTCTAATGAAACGGAGCGTTTCAAGTAATCACGCCTGTCCTGTGAAAAAGTAGTGGTGGGCCCATCCTTGCTTACAGTTGAGCTGATTAACCTAATTTTTTTCATAAAAATTATCGGATTTACAATAAAGTGTTCGGAACACCGTTCATTTTACTACATTGCCACTAATGGAAACCATCGGTTTATCACGGCCAATTAAATGCGCTGGTTTCATTGTAATTTTAACGGAAACATGACTTATTATTGAGCAATCATCAAATCCAGCAAGGAGGAAAACGAGTCATACGAATTGAATAACAGTACACTCTCACTTCGTTGGCGTCGCCTCGCCCTCGCTGAACAATATCCGGACTTCCCAAAGCAAAAACAAAACCACGCACCAATAAACTATTTTCTCTCTTCTTTTCGGCTTTATATAAAAGCATCACAATCATTTTTCTCCGCTTCATTTCTGGCTACTCTCTTCGCTTCTCGTTCTTATTCTCTTCTCGCTGTTCGCGGATTTTACGGAGCTACGATTCCGATGGCTGCTGTTACCGGATCCAATGTCGTTGCTTTGAAATCCGCCGCGAAATTCGGAGATTGCAGTGACCGAAAATTTGTTCAAATTCGGCAATGGTCTCCGATTTCTGGTGTAATCGAATCCGTTCAGACTCGGCCGTGCATCGGACTCAAGTGCAGATCGAGGAGATCGTTTGCTTCCTCCGGTATTTGTTTTCTATTTTCTTCTGCTTTTAAGCAGTCATTTTCATCTTTATGGGATATTTTTCTGCTCATTTAGCAGAAAAGCTTGGCATGTTCATGAATTAAGGACAATTATAGTCAAATTAACAGTCGGAGCTTGTGGAATTTGTTGTTTAGCGAGTTTAACATATAATAACCAATATTTGTTGATAATCTGAGAAATTATTGAAAATTTACGAGACACATTCTAGTTAATTTGGCTTTTGATTTCCAGGTGTAAGAGCTCAGGTTGCGACTGTTGAACAAGCTAGCATTGAAGCAGCTCAAAAAGTGGAAGCTCCCGTAGCCATAGTTACTGGAGCTTCTAGAGGAATTGGTAAAGCAGTTGCATTGACCTTAGGAAAAGCAGGTTGCAAGGTTAGTGGGTGTTCCTTGTCAGGATCTTACTATTTCTCTCCTGTTGTCGTCACCTTAAAATTTGAGTAAAGCCATAGGAAGACCGAAGAATATAGCTTGCGGTGACTGAAGTCTTGGCTAAAAGTGCAAATCGTTGGATGACTTCATCATGTGATGTTTAATAAGAATAAACTGCTTATGATTATCATAATCTGATTTAAACTACTTGTCAAATGATCTTGTCTAAATTTTAACCGTTGAGTAATGGGGTGGACTCAATGTCCATTATGCAATACATGCTGTCCTGATGCCTTCCATGCTTCTTTGCTGATAAATAGTTGCCTCTCAAGTCTCCTTCAAGTACTCTAAGAACAAGTGTTTTAACAACTAAAGCAATATTTTCTATTTACTGCTATTTGTTTGAAAATGATGGTTGTTGATGCTTTTATGCTATTGCAGGTCCTAGTAAATTATGCTAGATCATCAAAGGAGGCTGAGGAAGTTTCAAAAGAGGTGAACGATATGCCCTTTGAAGAAATTTATAGGAACACTTAGTGGGATTTTACTTCTTTTTTTTTTTTTTCACAGCATTTGTTACAGAAATTTTGTTGTCTAATGCATAAGAATTCTTATTAGTAAACTGCCTTTATGTTTGCTGGAATGGAGTCTTTCATTTACTAGCAGATGAGAGTTTGTAGGCTGCCTAAAATCTAATTCTAGGATTCCTTATGTCCTCATATTTGCATATGCTTGTATGCATCTAAAGGAAAAGATTCACAAATATGACTCTTTTTCCAGATATAATAATTGGATATTTTATACTTGACCTTTTGTCTCTGTTAGTCTTTACTTAAACCTCGCTTTAAAACTTCTTTCCAAAGTGCCTTTATGTTTTTTTGGTTATGTGTAACGTTCTTTAGGCAGTGGTTGAATTATACTGCATGGTTGAAACTTGAAATGACTAATGTTACTACTTTGTGTGACTGTTTTCTAGATTGAATCATATGGTGGTCAGGCTGTTACTTTTGGTGGAGATGTTTCAAAAGAAGCTGATGTGGAGGCAATGATAAAAACTGTGAGTGAATGTTCCCTTTCATTTCATATTTTATAATGTACTAGTAGATGCATGCTTCATGACTTTTATATCCGCAGGCTGTTGATGCATGGGGAACCGTTGATATATTGATAAACAATGCAGGTTTTTAAAAATCCTTTCTTTTCTCATTTGCTATTCAATTGTTGATTTCAATCTAGTCCTTTAATATAGTGACCATGGTTTCAGGAATTACTCGGGATACTTTGTTGATGAGAATGAAGAAATCACAATGGCAGGAGGTTATTGATCTGAATCTGACAGGAGTGTTTCTTTGTACACAGGTCTGAATGCTGGACATCTGAACTGATTATCCTAGTGGATGCTTGAGTCATTTATTGGAACTGACTTTGCTCTTTGCAGGCAGCAGCCAAAATTATGATGAAGAAGAAAAAGGTAATAGGATATTTCGCATTTGAACGTAAAGCGTAATATACTTGGTTTGTCAATTTGTTTGGAATTGAACTTTCTACCCCCAAATCAACTGATTGAGCTACAGCCTGTAAAAGTGAGATTTTTAACATGTCATAGCTTCAAAGATGTATCTTTCTCATTAATACTTTCTCTTTTGTAGTGTTAGAAATAAAGTAAGTAAAGTTTTTTAAGCATGGTTCAAGAGTGTCGTTTTAGAATATGTACCATGTTTTAGAATATGCTTCTAATTTCAGGGAAAAATAATTAATATAGCATCAGTTGTTGGTCTGGTTGGCAATGTTGGGCAAGCCAACTACAGTGCCGCTAAAGCCGGAGTTATTGGCTTGACAAAGACTGTCGCAAAGGAATATGCCAGCAGAAACATTAATGTAAGTTTTCAAGAGTTATAAAACTTTCATTGCAGTAATAAGAAAGATCCAGGGTTATGTGTTTTGTAATTATTTTGCTCACTTTTTTCAAGATGTAATACTCCAACTCTTCTCTCGTCCAAGATTGAGAGGAAAAAGAATTGGAATAAGCAATGTGGGATAGGGTGAAAAAGGATGAAAGTTAGTGTCTTGACTGTTCAGTTATTGACATATTGAAATGTGAGGAAAAGGAACATTAAGGATGCCATGCTGATGTGGGGCTGAGGGAATAGGGTTTATGCTGCTAATGTTGGGTATACTCTGATAAAAATATTCTTCCAGGTCAATGCTGTTGCACCTGGATTCATTGCATCTGATATGACTGCCAAGCTTGGGGAAGACATTGAGAAGAAAATCTTGGAAACAATCCCCTTAGGTGAGAGATGATTATATACAATCAAAGTTCTTAATTTCCGTATTTGTGAATTTCTTTTTAGTGCTTCTCAAATTGTTAGCTTTCCGAGCCCTAATAAAGTCACCAAATATTTACTAGATTTCATTTGAAATGCCTGAGAGTTCTTACTGCTGCTAACCTTGCAATGTACCAAATATGTTGCATCTTTGTTGATTTTTACAGTACTTACACAACTTTCTTCCACTGCTTTTAGTATAAAATCATATTAATGTCATATCCTAGTTTCTACTGATTCAGATTGGATGTTTTGCGTAGAAACGCTTGGTAATTTGCAGCAGTGGTAACCATGTTTATTATGGATACAGGAAGGTATGGTCAACCAGAAGAAGTTGCCAGCCTGGTGGAATTTTTGGCCCTAAACCCTGCTTCCAATTATATCACAGGACAGGTTATAGATCTATTTTATCATTGTGGCTTTTGGCATATAAAATTTGTGCAGTGGACTTTACAAACTTGTGCTTTGCCATGACTCCACTGGCTTGCTATAAAATGATACCTAAATATTATAGAGGCTGAATGCTATTGATGTATTGCATCTTGCCTTTGCGTGCTTGCATGGGCACTTGCTTAGGCTAATTTAAACTCGTGGCCGGCCATGCCATACCATGCTTTGCATGCCACAACATAATTTTGACCTGGCATACTGAATCTTTACTGGTAATCTCTTTGCTTAGCATTGCCTTGATCAGGCTTATCGTCTTTTCTGCCCTGCTACATGTTGGCTTTTATTTGTCTGGCTTCAATTATTTATTTGCTCTCACTTGTCTGTGAGCTATATGCTAAGCCAAAACTTATTGGGTTTTTTTACTTGCATTGTTTTCTTGGCCTTGGCATTTGCATGCTCTGTATTGCACTTGCTTTGCTTGTAATCATGAGCTTTCATAAGGGATTGACCTCTATGGAAACACTAGGACGAAGACTTTGCTGAGTTGCAAGGTTACTGTTTAAATCAATCCCTATTCCCTAGCCTTGCCTTGGTCGATTTATTTCTCTGACCTTGTCGTGACAGTGGCTTGGACCCTATAGTGTTTTATTTTATATTGCTCCCTCTCCCCTTTTGTTGACTTAGCTAATAGCCCGGACATTGTTGTCTTGCAGGTGTTAACTATTGATGGGGGAATGGTCATGTAAAATTGCTACCCTTCCTCATTAAGCTTTCAGCAGGTAGTTCTGCAACGACATCTAAACTCTAATTAATATAGCTTGTTTAGTGGATTGCTGTTGTTAATATAGCTTTTGTAGTTTTTTTTTTTTTTTAACAAACAAGAATTTCCAAAATTTGGCAGTATTTAACTTAAAGCAGCATGTTGTAAAACCAAATGAAGAGCTATGTTGTAGGCTTCATTTGGATTTAATGGAAGCGTGGTTTTTGAGCAGTTTGCCATGCATGAAGTTTAACATTTCAATCAAATCTTCTAAAATTCTGTTATAGGGAATGTTTGACTGGAACAGGCTCGCTCTTATGACGTCTTGATTATTCTTAAATCTGATACATGGCTTCGAAAACGAATGGGCGAAGTGATTATAGCACAATGAAACCAAAATAGGTGGTTTGGCTGGCCTCAAAATTTCATAGCAACTCTAAAGTAAATAGGAGAGCATATTAGGACGGCTTAAGGCAGAATTGTTGTGATTTACTTGCGACTCACGGGTTCTAAGTACTATTTTACCTGGGTAGAGTCGTAAATAAACGAAAATACTTTTTCCTAACGTATCACCGCTTTCCTTAGCCTCTTAAATCACCCTTACTTTCTAAGCCCCCTGAAGGCACCGTTCAGATTTCATTCTTGTCGGCTACTTTTTAAAGGGTCCTAAGTACAAGATTCCAAGTCCCCTCAGAATTCCAGGTTCTCCACCCCCCCCCCCCCCCCCCTTTTACTCCTAGTCCCCAACTCCCAAGCTCATCGTGGTTTCTTTTATTAGGGTAAGTCATCTAACCCTTAACTTATTTATATACTCTCAAAAGTCTCGGGAACTTTGAAATCTTGTTTCAAATTTTCCACAACTCTCTCTGTCTCTCGTTAGTTATTTCTGCTACCGGATTTCCATGGAGACCTTAGCCCTTGACAGCCTAAGTTTGCCGATATTTTTCTTCTTGTTTGCTTTCTTTTATCTCTGTGCTTACTTTTCACTCTTCCATGACTGGGGTCCCAAACACCGGCTGCAGCTTCAAGCTGCTTTATCTACTTTGTTCATGGATCGCCTGCCGCTTTAATGGCTCGCATGGCATTAAAAAACACCCAATCTCCTACTTTCGCTTCTCCAAACTCTGTTTTCGACAACATTGTACTTGATTACAGTATTTCTTACTTCTTGATGGACCTTCTCCATTATTTAGTCTTTTTCCCTAATGATATTCTCTTCATTCTCCACCATCTGGCAACATTGTATGTGTTTTTCACATGTCGTTACATGGTTCATCACGGGGCATATGCCCTTCTCGTGCTACTTGTTCTTGCCGAAGTTACAAGATTTTGTCAGAACATCTGGCTTCTTGCTGGTTTACTTGGAGGTGATGTTCGATTAGCTGCGAATTTGTACAAGCTTTTGTCTCCTCTGTTTTATGTTTCATATTCTATTGGTAGGGGGATTGTGGCGCCCTTCTTTGTGCATAAGATGGGGTCTTCTATCTAAGTGGGATGGCTAAGAATTTGATTCCAGGTTGGGCTTGGGCTTCTTGGATGGTTGTGATCGTCACAGCAATCCTGGCTAGCATAGTTTGGATCTTCGATCACTGGTATAAAAGAAGCTATGAAGCGGTGAAGAAAGTGATCTACAGTTATGGGTGCCACCACAATAGATAGTCAGACGAAGTCACCGTTTAGATTCCACCGCATGTTGGTACGGCAAGATTAAGTTCATCATATCATTAATTAAATTCAAATATCAATTTTAATAAAATTAAATTAGCATTAAATTTTTTTAATTTTTTTAATTATAATTATAATAATATTTTTTTTTATCATAATTAATTTTATCATTCATCCAAATGAGTCAAATTGGAAAGGGAGGCAATGTAATTATCTCAAATCTGTGGCAATATATACAGAAGTTTTGCTTTATTTTCACCTTTTAGGAGTAAATATAATCCAATATCCTGAATGCTTCCTGTGGCATAAGAATTCAGCTTTTAATGTACCAATAATTTTTCTTGCATTTTACTACTTTTCGAAGCCTGTGATGTGGAAATTGGCTGAAAACTTCGACTAATAGCACTTCATAGAGACTATGGGCTCTGATAATTACACAAATAGAACGCAAAATATGTACCAATGGTTCTCCAGCTTGAGCTATAAATGCATGCCACAGTATCGGATAGATACAATTGATGATCACATCATACACAAACATACATAAAAAATTGTAGGACAAGTCCCATCTTATGCAATTGATTGATCTGAATGGCAAATGCTGAAGCACGTATCATATCTATTGTACTTTTTGCCCTCCAATATGTCAATTCACGAATTTTGCCTTCTTTGCTTCACTCCGGCATTTGATTCCCCATGTGGTGGTACAATACCATTTCTCAAATCATCTTATGGGGAACACAGCAGGTTTAGGATATGCCTTGCATTAACTCAATTCAAGGCTCATATACCAATCATTGAAACATTCATATTATCAGGACTCCTTTGGTATTTTAGCTCTACGAAGGTACTTCCGCTTTCTCCCTTAGCCGGTCATCTTGGGTTAATGCAAAAGCATTTTTTCATTTGTTCTTTGATTTCCCGTCTCTTTTTCCCCCAAGAGATACCAACTCCAACCAGAAAGACCATGCAGGATGCACGAGAATAACATTGTTTTATAATTTGTAGTAGTATTTTTCAACATTTGTTGCAGAAAGTTGGACACTATCCTCTAGCTTAATACTAGCTTCTTGGAGCCATAGTTTCTTCTTGTTGCTGTTGAAAATAGAGGTTGGAACTGAAAAGTAGTTTGGCATTGGTGCATCACCCCTAACCTTGACAAAGTATTTGATGTCCGAAGGTAAGGTAATAAGATCCGGAACTGAATAAATTATTAACGAAGCTTCAGGGGGAAGGGATATATCCAATGGGCACCTTCCGCAGGTGGTATATAGGCGGATAAAAGCTGTCTCACAAACATCAATCGTAAATACCTTTGATAGGGTTGATGAATCAAATGAGGAACAAATAAAGAGAAAGAAATATAAAAGGGCAAAAGAGGAGAAAAAAAAAAAAAAAGCCACTATGTAAATGTTATGTGAAAAAAGCAACATTCTATTCAAATAATCAAAAATTATTATTTGGACTGACGGGAAATATCATAAACTAAATTACTTTAAATTTTGTAGCAAAGAAAATTTGATTTTGCCTTAATATAAAGTATTTGATTCCATAATTTGATATTTTAAATTATTGAAAAATTCTGAATGTAGTTTTGTCCACCATAAGATTTCATTAACATTATGGAGTTTCTAAAGATTCCATACATGATAACCGCAAGAATGAAATTTCAAGAAACTATTGATTACAAATCAAATTGCATTTAACATTTGCCTTTCAAAAAAATAATTACATTTAACAACTATTTGGATTTTCAAAAAAAATCTAATAAACCAAATAAACTAACAGATAAACAAAAAAAATTCCTGTTAAACATGAAATGCCAGGTGGAGATGATCGCCTTTGTCTGACGAAATTCATTAACATGTGTCGTGACATCTGATGATGAAGCATATGAGCAGATGACTCTGAAAACTGATGAAAATTTCTGGCAAGTGCATCCCACCATCAACCCGGTTACAATGACTTGAAATTGCAGTTCCATTCAATCAATGTGATAACCGGTGATAGATAGAATCATGAGAAGAACTCGTAGTGCTTGGCTGAGATGATGATTGAACTCGGCCCTCCAATGGGTGCTAGGACCATCAGCAAAACACCAAGAACAATGCATACCTGAAAAACAAACATACCAAGGTCAAAAAAGATGGTCAGGATGTTGAATTTGGCAGGTTCAAAAATCATTCCCGAGCCACATGTCACTTACCCAGTTTATCACCCAAGTTAAGCCGAATCTTTTGGGTTTGCAGATGATAAACCAGATGATGCAGGGGAGCTGCAGAGCAAGACATTAGTGGGGAGGTTGTGTTTGTTTGCAAGTAACAGTGCGAGCGAGTCAGAAATAGTTACATAATATGTTGTTGGCGCAAATGCAAATCCTCCAAAGAAGCTGAGAAGAACTCCAAAAAATGGAAGCATATCCCAGCAAACATTGCGAATGCTGCGACAGAAGAAGATTAATCAATGCAATAAGCTATGGTAAAACTCAGATTTTGTGTTGAAGAAATGGAATGCTGGGACTTGGGAGTTATTTACCAACATATAGAGTGCGACAGATTAAGCGTAGCCTTAAACAAAGAGTGAAACGCATTTTTTTTACCAAAAAACTCTCCAACATGTCAAACACTGGCATTGCATATACCTGCAGTTTATCAGGTTAAAGGGAAATTTGGGGTCAGACAAATGTTAATTCTTCAATTGATGTTGTCATCAATTGCGTTCCCAAACGCCCGGTAACCAACAAAAGCAACAAGGAAGTAGCAGATTGCCACAATGATGTATGCAACGACACCTTTCCACATTCGGCCTTCGGAAGGTTTTTCGGAGTGGAAGGTATTGTTGCTTGGATCTCCAAAACCACATTATTACAGCATAGGCAAAAGCTACTTCACCCAACGCGGCAAGGAAGTTGAAGACTTTTCGGGAGCTGGTTGAAGCCTTGTATGAATAGTCCACATTTGGTTGAACACCCTTTTCAACCAAAGCTGCCCAAGCAATGGTAGAGTAACTGCATAAAACAAGAAATAAAAGCATCAATGGATGAAACAATAAACAGTGACAACTGCCCCAAAATGCCACTAACAAGTTTAAGTAATGTTTACCACAATGACATGACTGCCGCAGCCAGTGATACACCTGTTATAGAGTTAAAGTTGGGGAGATGGGAGAAGACAAAGTGGACAGAAGCGAAAATCGTAATGAAATATGTGAGTTTGATGTCTTTGCAGTTGGGACAAACCATATCATGAAACTTCTTCAACGATTGCCCTCTAGTGACTATGTAGAAATATCGGTACTGTTAGACTAAAGCAATAAACATAACAATGCAGATAACGCAAGAAAAATAAAGCACACCAAAATTTACATGAAAACTCTCCAGTGTAGAGGGGAAAAACTACGGACCACTAAAAAAAGTCTCCATTATCAAATAATGGATATACAAAGTTCTACTCTATCTAAACTAGAGTTAATAACAACTAGAGAGACAATTGAAAAAATCTCACCAAATAGGTAACTCAACAAATACACTTGAATTTGTGTTTAGAGAGCTTAAACCCAATCTTCAC